CAAGTACAGGAGAAGAATACCTGTTGGCACCTGGCCACGTTACATTAATGGATGGATGTTATTCAATTATGTGTAAAGTAGTAAACTAATGATTTACTTATTAATATCATATCAGAAGAAAGAGTTAATGTAAGCTTATTAAAGAGATTGAGTTCCTAGGAAGAAAAAAAGAACAGTCTACATTCAGATTGTTCCAAAGGGAAAGAATATGCCCATGCTGTAAAATTGTGACTAAGTTTTTTAAGCCAGAGAAACTAAATCTTTTCCTTCTTTCCTTGGGCAAGGTTTAATATTTATTTGTTCTCAATTACATATACTTTTTTCATCCTTAAACAAATGCCTCTCAGGCAAACCATGTAAGGCATTCTCCAACATGGAATCAGATGTACTACCTATTTCAAAAGTGTAGTTTGTGAAGAAAACAAAAATATTGTTTGCATCAAATTCTAAAATTTTAGAGTGCCATATTTTATGTAAAAAATTCCAAAAGTAATTTAGACTTTCTCTACTGGCAGCTTAGAATATTACAATTACCTACCTGTCATATGAAGACAATTTTTGTCAGTCATATTTTCCATTATCTTTGATTTATTTAACTGTGTTCATCTATTCAAATTCAATATGTGAATAGAAAATTTATTCTTCCAGGTTAAAAAATTTTTAAAGAGAAAGCTGTCTTTATTGTTTTTAACAATAATAAAATTACACTGCCAATTAGCAAGCAAATTAAAATACTTAATTGTGCAATGCTTTAATAAAATCTCAGATTCACTCAATGACCAAATTATAATCCATATTTCAACTATGAAAATAACAGCATACTGTATGCCCCAAAGATCTTTTTTTGGCATTGGAGCATCATCTGTGCTTTTGCTTTTAAGGCATCATTGTTAATGAGCCTGCACTTACCCCTGCCTATTCTGCCTATAACTATTGAGAATCATTATCATGTAAATTGCAGAAGTTTGTTACGAAGACAATGAATTATTTGTAGAATACAATCTTTCTTTATTTAGCTGTAGATAAACATATACTTTTAGTTTATTTATTTTTTATTTTTATGTGGTGCTCAGGATCAAACCCAGTGCCTCACAGGTGCTAGGCAAGCACTCTACCACTGAACTACAACCCCAGCCCCCTAAGACATTCATTTTAAACAACAACAATTTTTTTTTTTTGCTTTAATAATCTTTAAGTAAAACTGCAACACTATTCTTACATGCTATTTTTATTTTCCTTGATTGTGGCAGATGTACGCAGTAGAGATTTAATAATGAAGGAATCTGTATTAGATGGCATGAATTGAATTTTTGAACTTGTTAAAAATCTGTGTTTAGTTCTCCATTTGACTTACCTAGGTCTGATGGTGTCCTTTGCTTCTCTTCACTTTGCAGATACTCTTAATAATTGTGAGTACTCTACTGATGGAAAATAATGCATCACAAATAATTAAATTATTTTTTCCTAATTTATAAAGTAATGGCTCTGTTATATAATACAACTAAATGACTCATTCTTTTATAATAAAAAAATAACTGTCATGAAATTTTAAACCATAAATCCCATTCAAATATTAGTTGTGCAGCTTTAAACATAGCATTCAACCAAAAGGAAAATAAAATTATGAATGTTACTAACCACACATCCTGGATTTTCCATAACCTTTCATTTCAGACATTTTCTATTCTTTTCCTCAAATATATGCAAGAAATTTTAAAACAGGTAGCCAGCATTTTCATTCAAAAGACAGAACTACACTAACAAGTCTTAGAATTAATCTCAATCAAAATATCACTGTTGGCATTAAAATATTAAATATTGTTCATTTACAGCACTCTGTCAAAAAATTCATATCAATTTTCTGAAATGTTCAATTGAATAAACTGTTCATTTGAATGCTTATCTGAAATGTTCATTTGAATGCATCTTCATAAACTTTATTAGAAAATGTAGTAATTTTACTCTAAGTGTCTCACATTTATCTCATATTACCTGTCTTATCACAAATGATAAGACAGTTGCCCAGGTGTCATCTGAAGTATAATCACATGCCACTTGTTAAAACTTAAATGAACAAATAAGAAATATGTATATAAGGTTAAGATTGTAGGTGATTGCTCAAAGTAGCTGTCCTATAATGTTTCAATGTAGGAGTAGTCACTTTTCTTGTGATATTAATTCAGCAAACTAATAATATACTGATACATAATGTTTAATAAGGCCATTATAGTGATTATATACTTTTATAAAATGTGTAAAATATTTAATGAATATAGTGACAGAACATGATTGTGTGTGTGTGGGTGTGTGTGTGTGTGTGTGTACATATGAAGAAACTCCTAGGTAATACTTTGGGATATTTACTGCCTAAGCAGAAATCAAAGAAAAGCTAGACAATTCTTTCATGCAAAATCCTACTTTGTCCTGACTCTAAATCAACATATTATAAAGTAGAAATTGATACTAAAGAAGTTAAGGAATATTTTCCAGGTTATAATAGCAAAGTAACAAAGAACAGGATAGAAACTTTCTTTAGTTCTGATCTTCAACCCTTAATCTCTAATATAATTGGCAAAAAGTAGCACAAATGGGAAAGTGAAAGTGATTTAAAAATGAAGTTCTGGAAACATAAAGGGTGGTTGAGTGTATGCTGGAAAGAAAGACTTGTGAATGTCTTGCACGGGTGAGGGGTGAGTGAAATGCATCATCCTGTTTTCTCTGCTTTGATCCTTGTGGATTTTCAGTGCACTCAGCCTGGTTCATAAAGTTACAGCTCTTCAGGAAACATTCAAGATGATACCAAGAATAGTAATATGCCTCCCAGCTGTATGGGCAGAGTTCTGACTCCTTGTTCTGTGTTTATTTCCTAGCTAAATTTTTTATTATTTTATGACCACATGGAGTTATTTGCAGGGTGTATATTAAGCCAACTATGTCTCTTATAATACTGTACTACAGCCAGGTGATGAAATTAATCCTAAACTCATTTCTTCATTTCTTAAAAAATAAACAAATCTTAATCCTGGATCTCAAGACACTTAGTATAAATTTTGGAAAGGTCTTCTTTGGACTCATACATTCATAAGAAGAGTAACTACACACACACACACACACACACACACACACTCAGAGTCATGCAGAAGCTGCTGGTATAGAAACTTGAAAACTTGCATATGCTGACTTGAAAATGTGGGTGACTTGATCAGAAAAATAATCCAAATGTACTCAAAATATAAACAACAACTAGGAAAAAAATCCCAATCTGAGGAAAAACTATCATTGATTTGCCTTGAGTTAAATATAATAACAAAAATTGCATTTCCAGGTTCAAGGCTTCTTTCTACTTTACACTCCTTTTTTTCTGCTCTTTAAAATATTTAGACCATCCATTCATTATTAGTAGGTTATCTACTGAGGGTCTTATATAAAAATATGCAAAAATCATGGGGTGAAAAATATGCATGATGATAATTAAAAGTTTATGTAACTAAAATTTAGAGCCCTTTTCCTCACCAATGCAGATACAACCAGCAAACATGCATTACCATTGCTTTAAATTTGCCTTAAGAATATAATTTCAAAAAAGCATTAAGAAATAGTTCCTTTCTTACAAAAATTTTTCTATTATAAAAGAAATAACAAAAACTAAAATTTCTCCTTAATATCAGGCTCTCATTGCATGTAACAGTCTATGAAAAAAATAAAAGGAAAATGGCAACTTGGGGAGATATTCCATTAACAGAAGAAAAAATATAAATGTCTTTTATGTACACATGGCTATCACAATAACGTATATGTTTCAGTAGTAAAACAAGAATGGACTGATAGCAGCTTTCTCGATACCCCCTGAAAATTAATATTAGAATAATATAAGTCAATCCAGCTTGGATGTAACTAAAAAAAGCCACCTAAAACAATTTGATGAAAAAAATTTTTAAGATCATACACCACCACAAATTCGCCTTTATCAAATATTGATCACTGTGATGGATAAAGGTATGTTGATATTCCGCTGATGTGAATTTAAATTAGTACAGATTTCTCCAAGTATATTTCACTTGGTTTAATAATTTTGCTTTTAAAAATTATTCCAAATTAACAAATAATTTTTTATAATAATAGCAAAATTCAGCTTAAAATCAGTGTGTATATTACAATACATTATTTTTTGGTTATAAAAGAGTATGTAAAGAAATTTTGGAAAAAGTATTCTAAATATCCCCAAATAATTATGAATAAATTGGCAATGTCTTTTAAAAACAAAAAAACCCTTGAAATTTTTTTCTTAAGAATCTGTAAATAAAATTGCTGATATAAAAGACATTTCAGGGCTTTCTGACTTCCCTGTGCCTTACCTAAGTTTAATTACTTGGCAATGGCTTGGTGCTTGTCATTGTAGCTAAATCTATGTTGAATGCCATTAACCAAAGAATTCCTTTCAGCAACTGAATTAAAAGGAAACTTATAGGTACCTGAAGTAGTGGAAAACAAGAGTATATTTCTTGGCCCCAAATTTCCCCCCTTCACACACACTACTAGGTTCTACTTTACTCCTTCTCTGTTTATATGAGTCAGTTAACAAAAAAAAAAAAAAAAAAAAAAAAAAAAAAAAAGTTGAGAGGTTATGGAAATAATTAGGGTGACAAAGAGCACCATGGGATCTCTGTTTCTGTTCTCCAAATAAACAAATAAATATTCATCTTTAGTGTATATTCAGTACACTTGATCTCTCCAGCATATTGGAAACTCATGTTTCTTTTAGATGAAAACACAACGTACAGCACAAACACTTTTCATTATGATTGAAATTATTACAAGACACTCTTAGTAGTGAGGCAAAACATTTTGATCCACTGACCCTTCATGTGCTTTCCAGCTGAGTTTCTCTCAGACCCTTTGTATCCTGTGGGGGAATTCAAATCTAATCAAACTTGGCCTGAGCTGACTTCTAGTCACCACCCTCCTCCATTTCCTTTCCCAGGCTTCCTGGTTCTGCCAGCTGTGGAGACAGCAGGGCCCTGGTGTGGGGTGTCTGTGTGTGTGTGTGTGTGTGTGTGTGTAGTTCAAACTCTTCACATTGTAACTGCATGTGGAGTCGCTGACTGCTATCACTGACTGCTGTGTTGGATCTGTCCTTAGACTTGTTTATCTTTCTAGTGTTACGGCTGAAGTCTCCAGGGCCACCACTGACTCCAAGGACTCCTCACAGTAAGTACCACTGACTGAAAACAAAACTGAACAAGGAAATTAAATTGTAAGGTAAAATTTGCTTTTTAATCTGTTTTCTTAAAGATTCTGTCCTACATTTACAGAGCATTGTGCCCATTAGAACAATTTCTGTTTTTATCAGTTTCATAATTTGAACATCTTTCTCGTGATTCTTATTTTTTCCATGGGGTATTCAGTACTACTGTTTATGCTATGTAAAATCTCTCAAGCTTTCAATATTCACTTTTATTTTTTCTGGGTTCACTGGGATACTTCCGTAGTGTTGCCAGGATTGGGGATCTTCTTTTGACACTTCAAGGTACTTTCAGATAAAGAAATCCTATCCAAGTCCTCAATTTTCTTCTCCCATCTTCCCTTCACATACATGCACACATGTGTGAACACACGCATACACACAGACATACCATTTAAAGCACATTCCAGAATACAGAATATACTTTATTCTATGTTAATTTTGGGAGCTGGAATTGGATATGGATCTAATAGAGTTGAATTTTGTTAGAATTAAATGAGTGGAAATAAGTGTCTTTTTATAAAGAATTATTTATATTTAATGGCGATGATTCAGTTTCTTCTAAGAGCAGTATTGTTTTTCATTTTCTCTTTTAATCCATTAATCTTTAAGTCAATCTTAGACATTTTAATTTTCAGCCTATGGCTTAAGTTGAACAGGAAGACTTTATATGTCATATAGAATATATTTTACAACCACAAAAATTGCCTGCCACTTTCCTGTAGGTTTAAAATGTTTTTACAACATAATTTTTATATTTTAGTGAAAACCATCCTCCTGCACATCTGGTCAATGACACTAGTCATTTTAGGTTTTCCAGCCCCCTGCCCTCTGTGTGGCTCTTTCCCTATAATTCTGAACTCTTCATCAGCCACTGGTCAGGGCGAGCAATGCTAACTCATGTCTAATCCCCTGGAGCTTCCTGAATTGGCCACACGCACATCCCAGATGTGACTGGTATGTGTCACAACTGGCCTCCTCGCTGTGTTTTGTTACTCATTCCATCTTTCTCTGGCAACATTTTTCTAACATGAACAGCTTGAACTTTTAGTCAGAGAGGAATTGCTCTGTTGAAGAAAAATGCCATTACAAATTGTGAACACCCTTATTTGAATGAGATAGACTCGAGACAATGATAGACTCTGAGTTGGGCCCATAGTCTGTGCAGAATGATCAAGTTAACAGAACTAAAGTCCATTCATGGGTTGTCACCCTTTCTCTGTCTTTGAGCAAACACTCCAAAGCTCTGGTTATTTAGCTGTCTACAAAATGAAAGATTCATCTTCAGAGTGGATAAAAATTAGGGATAAAAAATGCATGTTGACAAAAATCAAGGCAATGTATTTTCTAGGAAATATTGAATTCATTGTGATAAACCATTTATACACACCCTACACTGTCAGAGAGTAAGTTAAAGGTGGTTTAAAGTCTCCTCTAAAGTTTTAAGAGAATAGAGATTATCTGAAGATCTTATTAAAATTTAAATTCTGGTTCTAGATTGGGACCTGGGACTCCACAGTTATAACAAACTCAGATGGGACCAATAGCACATGGTGCTTACATGTGGACTGTAGTGAATAATAATTGTTAATTAATGTGATAAATATAAAGCAACGGTACCAAATAAAAATGAAAAATTGAAGAAATAATGACAAAAATCACTCAAATTTAATAGAAACCATAAGCTCACAATTCCATGAAGCTCAGTATAGCTAAAGTTTATACTTGATTACACACACACACATACACACAAATAAACATATCAAGAAACACCATAATTCAGTTGTGCAAAACCAGTGATAAGGAAAACAATCTTAGAAGCAAATAGAGAAAACACATGCATTACCTACAGAGCAAAGGTAAGAATGATAATAGACTTTCTGAAAGGAAAAGTGAGGTACAACATACAAGCTAATGATCAGTAAGAGATTTGTTCTGCTCTAAATCCAGATTTTTAGTATATTTCTGTGAAATATGATTTTAATTGAAAATAAGATGTGTAGTTCTATATCTTTCCGAAGTTTCTGTTAAAGACCTTTGTTCTGCTTGTCACTGAGCCAGTTGCTGCTGTTGTAATTTGTGACCTTATGCTCACAAAAATGCTCTTTGTATTTAGATCTTTGTGTACTCAGTGTGTTAAAGGCCAATTTTATTTTCTGTTATATTGCATTTTCTCCAGGATGACATTTCTCACTCAGATTCTGATGTCTATTCTCTTAATTTCTCCATGATTTAACTGTTAGTAGGAAGTCTACTAAGTATATATATGTACTACTCAGGACAAAAATGATTTCCCCAAGTGATGTCCTGCGAAAAAATCTGAAGATGGTCCATGGCTGCCCCATGGTTTATGCTTTTGCACACAACTGGGAAAGGATTGAACAGTTCTGCAGCAGGCCAGATGACATTGTGATAGCCACTTACCCCAAATCAGGTGAGCTCTGCAGCCTGACTGATGCAGGTCTGACTTCAATTTTTGTTTTCTGGAATCAACTTCTCTATAAAATTATCATCCTAAGTAAAGTTAACATTCCTATCCATTAGTGCCACCATCTATTTCCAGTGTATTAAATGGACTTTGTCATATAGAAATGGAAACCAGGATTAAGTTTCTAATAAAATGTAGTAAGAGCACAAGCTTCTACTTTTACTCCCTGGAATTAAGTGCTGATTATAAAAATATTGCTTTTTCCTCACAGGTACCACTTGGATTAGTGAAATCTTGGACATGGTTCTAAATGATGGAGATGTTGAAAAATGTAAGCGAGATGTTGTTACTGCTAAAGTTCCCATGCTGGAAATGGCTGTTCCTGGAATGAGAATGTCAGGTAAATTTAAGTCACCTGGTGATTATAATTTTGTAATATTACAAAAATTATATGTATTATTATATCTGTAATGGCCCATTTCAAGAATCAAGTAGATTTGGTAGCAAGAAATGAAAGTTTGCAAGCCATATGATAAGTGAGGCATATAAAAAAACTTGTTTAGTCCATTTCATATCCAGGTATGATACCAAAGATGATATTATTTGATTGAAGTAAATAACTGAAAATTTGGTTAATAATATAAACAACATTTTTTATGTTTTATTGACTTTTATTGTGTAGAATTTGGCAGACTAGAGCAAAAACTCTAAATTTAAGACATTTCTATAATTACATCAATAAGCAAAGAAGTTCCATCCCTGTTTTAGGTAGAGAATTTATTATTCATAAAATTAATTTTTCATTTCAAAAATATTTATTGAGTATTTCTAAAGTACTTCATTTTGCTGTTAATCAGATACAAAATGAATATTAATTATATATTCTATTCCTGGGAAGCTTACAATAATACTGTGATATTTAAAAAGTCAATACATTAACAATATATCCATATTATTAGTCTTACAAAGTATCAGATGTTAGGAAATGGAAAGATAGGAGAGTTTCCTTTAGGTTAGATGTTAGGGGCAGCTACTGGGAATTAAGACTCAAAGCCATGCACACAGTCAGAAAAAGCACATTCCAGGAAGGTAAAGCCTTATGCATGAGGTCCTTGATGCAGAAAAGACTCTGGTGTAGGACACGGACTAAAACATGACCAACAAAAGAGGGGAAAGGGGCATGTAAAGCAAACAGAGATTAAGCAAAGACAAATTATGTAAGGCTTGTGATTCTTAATGCGTTATTCAATTTTATTCTAAACATAGTGCAAAAGACACAAAAGTGTTTTAAGCAAGGAAGAGCTTATAGAGCTTTGTTATTTTTATTATTTAAAATGTAATGATTCCACTGGCTGCTGAGGGGATGGAACTGAGGATTCAAGACAAGACATATGTTGTTCTTATCGTACTGATGAACTGTGTAAGAAATGTAAGGGAAATAAAAGAATCAAGGATGATTCCAAGAGTTTTATTTTGAAAAACCAAGTGGACTATGGAATCATTTACTATTATGGGAAATATTTGGAGAGGAATACATCTGGATGTAAGACTATTAATAATTCAACTTTGAAATGGTTGGTTTGAGATGACACTGGAAATTTTAAATGATGAATTAAAATTATAGTATTTGGAACTTGCTGAAATATATGCATTAGGGCACTCTCAGGATTATTGGGCATGGGAAGCCATGCTAATGCCCAGGGAAAGCCAGAGAAAAAACTTGAGAAGGGCAGAACTCTGTGAAAACCACCAAGATGTGGAGGCTTGGTACAGGGATAGGAGTTGTCAAAAGACAAGAAATAGTCATACCTAAGAGGCAATGAAAGAGCATGGTGTCCTACAGACATGAGAGAAAGGTAGCTGAAGGGAAGCTTGGCTCTCTCAAGTGCTGTTGGAAACCAGAGATAAGAAGATGGATGGTGGTAAACCTGCTTATGAATGTTAAGAGCAGAATCCAAATCCTCTCCCATAAATGACGTATCCCTCAGCAGACAGGCTGGACTGATTAATTCCATAGGCAAACAGAGATCACCTGGGAAGGTGTCAGTCCTTGGTGTGGTTGTCTGTAGGCTGAAGATAAACTGCTAAGGCTTGGAACTGAAGGATTATGCTGGGGAAGTAACCAAAATGATTTCCCAAGTGGGGTAAGACTTCAAATTCATAGGAAAGTATAAAATGAAACAGTGATTGAGTCAAATAATCTGAGACAAGTGATGAAGGGTCATTGGTATGAAGCAATGTTAGGATCTGAGGCAAGCTGGGTAGAGCTTCCAGAGAGGGAATAGTTGTTCCACCAGGAAATGAAGGTAAACTCTGGCCCACAGATTTACTCTGCATCCTGAATGGGGATACTTGTGATACTTCTTAACAATCATATTTATGGATATAAATGGCTCATTTAAAGAGACTCATATGGTGAAATGATGATACAACAGAGAAGGGAAAGCAATTGTTCAGGAACACTCAGGGAAGAACCTGGAAAAACAGATATTGGAAAAACTTCATAAAAGAAACAGATAAATTCATGGACATTCAGAAGTAGTGAATTATGGATATTACAATTTTTCATTTCTCTATGCTAAGGAAATTGACAATAGCTACCAGATTAGAAGTATAATAAAATCCCCAATTGAGGTTTTTTTTCCTTAATTTTTAACTTTATTTAATTAATTAATTTATTTTTATGTGGTGCTGAGGATCAAATCCGGGGCCTCTAGGCAAGTGCTCTGCCACTGAGCCACAACCCCAGCCCACTGGTTGAGTTTTATAGATCTATAATTAATTGGTTTTCCAATAAAATACAAGAAACTCAATTAAATTGAAAATTCAGAGAACTGACTATTATTGCATGGGAGATATTTATTCTAAAAAGTATCTTTTTTACCTGAAATTAAAATTTAACTAGGCATTTTGTTTCTGCCAATCCTATTTTTATTGATGTAAGAAGGTTCTTATTGATGCTAATCATGTGCTGTTCTCTCTGCTGTACTGGACATCACTTGGTGAAGGAAATAAGTATCTACCTACTTTGCTGGAGTCTTAATTGTATTGTGTATGTTCGGAGTGAGGATGGGAAGTGGGTATGGGAATAAATAGTAAACAAGGAAGTAAACAAACACAAATATGTGTCATATGGAACATTTGAAGAGTGTTATAATGATAACTGAGAGACTTAACATATATAATAAATTATTGCAAACAACAGAAACCATTATTATTTTCAATGGGTAAATTAGATACAGTTTTTTTGTGTGTAGAACTTCCTATGCAGAATGTGGCAAGATTATGTAGGATGAACAAGTAATTTACATGTTAGATTGAATATAAGTAATATTGTGTAAAACAATAAAAGGATGCATAGGACTTTAAGATTTACTGTATGAGAGACCTGAAGAAGGAGATATGATAAATCTTTAAATTACTAAAGGGGGAATTACAATTCCTCAATTTGAAGAAGGGGGAAATGAAACAGAGATATTTTAAAAATATCTCACAATGAATAAAAGATAGTCAGGATTTTAACACAGGAAGGATAGTCTCAAGTTATAAACTCTTAATTATTACACAATACTACCTCTTGGAATATAGAGAAATGCCTGTAATTGGCACAACATTTAGCTACATGATATGCTACTCAAAAGCCTCTTGAAAAATTGGCTGGGAAGATAAGGAAATGCAGGCTCCTTGGAGACTCTAATATTTCTAAATACCAAACTAAAATTCCCCAGGTATAGAACAATTAGAGAAGAATCCATCACCTCGTCTCATCAAGACACATCTACCAATTGACCTCCTTCCTAAGTCTTTCTGGGAGAACAATTGCAAGGTATTCTCTTGACTGCAAGCTGATTTTAGAGTGTGACCCTGTCTCTTTATCCATTCACATAGTCAGAAAATGGCCAGTTGTTTAATTGACTTGTGACCATGAGCACTGAGCTACATGAGGAATTGCTTCAATTAAAAAAAAAATTAGTGTAAGCTTTCATACCTAACATATCTAAATTTGGGTAGCAACATAATCCTAACCTCAAGACAGTGTTATTACTTTTATTCCTCTGCTGTCCCTAGATATTATGGTCGTCTACAAAAACTTAACATGAGAGTGCTAGTTCTTATTTGTATGGTAAAATTTTTCAGTGAACACTTATTTGTGTCTGCATATTTGCTTTGGGGTAAGTTTTAAATTTCAAATTCAATTCTTCAATAGCTATAGTGTTATTAAGATTATTAATTTCATTTTACCTGATTTTGCTAGTTTGTGAATGTGAGGTAATTTTCCAAGCTGTTGAATTTATGAATGAAAAATTATTCACATAATACATACCCACCTCATTCTTATAGTGGTTTTAGGATGTGTTATGATATCCACCATTTTGTTTTTGATCTTGGTTGTTTGTATCTTGTCTCTTTTAACTTTGTTGTTCTTGCTAGAAGTTTATCAATTTTATTAATTTAATTTTTAAAAATCCAGATTTTTGTTTCTATTACATTTTTACTTTTATTTTCATGGATTTGTGCTCTTATCTTTATTATTGCTCTCCTGCTTACTTTGAGTTTAATTACTCTTTTTTTCCTAATTTTTTAGGTAAGAATGTAGATTATTAATTTGGTGTCTTTCATTTATTTCTAGAGTAGAATTTAGTGTAATAATTTTCTTCTCAGAATTACTTTGGTTCCATTCAACAAATTTTGATATGTTTTACTTTAATTTTTATTCAATACTATGAATCTTTTTATTTCATTTGAAATTTATTCTTTTGCTGTAGGATTATTTCAAAGTATGTTGTTTAATTTCCAAGTGTTTAAGTATTTTCGTGTTGCCTTTTTGTTATTGCTTTCTAGCTTGATTCCATTTTCATCAAAGACCATACATTATATAATTTTATTCTGTAAAATATATTTTATCTTGGTCTAACTTTGTGAAAAATCCATGGACACTTGAGAAGAATGCATTTTTCCTTGTTAGTTGGGATGGTCTATAGATTTTGGTTAGACCCTGTTGTCTGATAATATTATTCAGTTCTTTATCCTTTCTTGTTTTCTACTGGTTGATGGTTCAGTCAGCTAGTGAGGGTGGACTATAAACACCAAAACTAAAACTTTTGACTTGTCTATTGCTGATTTTAGCTTTACCGGGTTTTGCTGCATGTATTTTGAAGCAATATTGTTTTGGGACAATAGGATTGCATTCTTTCCTTAGTGGGTTAATCCTTTTGTCATTATACAATGTCCTTTCTTGTCCCCAGTAATTTTTTGTACTGAATTTATTTTGTCTCATATTCATACAGTCACTCCTAGTTTTTACTAATGAATATTTGCCTTAGATTTCTTTTTCCATCCACTTTCAACTTATTGTCACTTTGAAGTTTCTTGTAAACATCATGTGATTTAATCCTGTTTTTTAAAATGTACTCCGCCATACTTACACCATTTACATTTAAAACGCTTATTTTTTTGGTATATAATTTATGTATATTTTTATTTTCTAATTCATTATTTATTTATTTATTGCTTAAGACAATACAATGATCATGACATATCATACATTTGATTCAAATAGGGTATGTACAGATTGCAGGATCACATTGGTTATACATCCATGTGTATACATACAGCAATCCTAGTGTCAGTTGTATTCTGCTGCCCTCCCTATCCCTGCCTCCCCTCCTTATTGAGATTTTAAAACTGAAATCCATCATGTTTTTTCCTCTGCGTTTTGTTGTTTGTCATACCATTGTTTCTATTTTTTTTTCATTTCTTTGTTTACCAGAACCATTTACCAGAATTATTTTAAAAAGAGTTTCATATTGACTTGTTTATAATGTTTTTGAGTTTTTTTGTTATTGTTTTTGTTTTTAGATATATTTTTTCTTAGTGACTGCTCTAGATATCACTAAAATATATAAATATATATATAACTTATCACAGACTATTGTGATAAGTTGTCAATATTTTTCTCCTTCAAAGAAAATATAGATATCTTCAATTTTATTTCCTCCCCATATGTTAAACATAATGGTCTAAAGTGTTTCCTGGACATGAATAAAGTGCCTCATCACATGCTGGTGCAACTTTGCTTCAATTATAAAATATAAAGAAGAAACTCACTAAGTCAAAGATATTCCTTTATGTTACCTCTCTTTTACCCATTTTCTTGCTCTTTTTCTTTTTGAAGATTTAATTCTTCTATGATTATTTCCTTTTTTTCTCCAGAGGTTCCATCAGCCATTTCTTAAGATAGATCTGCAAGTAGTAGTTTTTTTCCCCCTTTTATTTGAGAATATCTTTATTTCCCTTCCTGCCTAAAGTACAGTTTTAACTGCATATAGATTTGGAGTTGACAATATTTTGCTTTCTGTACTTGAAAAGTATTATGCCACTTCTTTGGCTTCCATGATTTTTGGTTGATAAACTCATTGCCATTCAAATCAATGGTGTTTAGTATGCAGTGTTGCATCTCGCCGGCTGGTTTTTAAGATTTTTATTTGTCCTTATATTTCAGAAGTTTATTTACAAATTTGTCTTGGTCTTATTGTGGGCTGATTGCTCAGAAAACACTCTCATTTAGAATTTTGTCCAAATTAGAGTCTTTTATGTAGCCAGATGGGACTGCTCCCTGCAGGACCCAAATTGTCTCTGCAAGGAACTGCATCAGGTCCCAGTTCTGTGGGGTTTATAAGGGGAAAAAAACATACCCTAGGAAATGTAGGTGCAGTCAAGCAAGCAGGATACAAGGGCGGAGACAGCAGTTAGCAGAGCAAAACAGACAACACATCCTGGGTTTGAGCACATTTGTGGGCATATGAAGTACAGAAAAACAATTTTTAACATCTTAGAAACAGTTTAACATTATTTATTCTATAACACTTATTACATAATCCTATCGTCCTACTTATTAATTAATATTTCATAACCTATAATCTATAACTTATAATCTGTAATCTATATTGATTAAGCTCAGACCATAACAGTCTGACTTTATTTGGGTTTCTCCTTTTTGAAGTTCTTTTGGCTTTTTGGATCTGTAGATTTATTTTTTTAAATATGCATGAGTGTTAGCATTTTGTTTCTGTGATCAAAATACCTGACAAGAGAAACCTAGAAGAAGAAAAGTTTATTTTAGGCTCATGGTTTCAGAAGTTTGGTCCTTGGTGGACTGACTCTAGTACTTTGGGCCCAAGGAGAGAAGTAGAACTTCATGGAGGAAAGGCATGGTGGAGGAACCCTGCTCTGTTCATGGTGGCCGAGAGAGAGAGAGAGAGAGAGAGAGAGAGAGAGAGAGAGAGAGAGAGAGAGAGAGAGGAAAACCATAGAGAAATCGAACCCTTCCAACTCATACTCCCAGTGACCCACTTCTTTCAACTATGCCCCACCTATCTACAGTTACCACCCAGTTAGTCCATTCAAAGTAAGATTCATTTCAGCTCTCACAAGCCAATCATTTTACCTCTGGGTATTTCTGCATTAACACAGGAGCTTTTGGGGGACCCCTCATATACAAACCATAATAATATGGATGGTTTTATTAATTAATTCTCCAAATCATTGTTCAGAAACTTTTTTTATTCTTTCTCCTATCATTCTAGTATTCTGAATATAGGATCATGAAATCTTTTGTTATTGTCTCACAGATCCCCAAGGTACTTTTTCATTTCTGTTTAGTCTTTTTTCTCTCTGTCTCATACATCTGGTAAATTCTATTGATATATCTTCAGGCATGCTGATTTTATTCTCTATTACAGCTATAGTACTATTAAGTCCATTTATTAAGCTTTTTATTTCAGTTATTGTATATTTTAGATCTATAATTCCCATGTATATAAAACTTTTCATGTATAAAATGATTCTTTCTTATGTTTTTATTTGTTTCAAGAAAAATTGTAATTGAATCTTGAAGCTTCTTTATGAAGTTGTTTTAGAATATTGGCCAGATAAGTCAAAATTTAATACATATTAGTATTGGTGTCTTAATACATATTAGTATTGGTGTCTTTTGTCTTTTCACATTTAAATTATTATTTTCCTAGTTTGGGGTAAGACAAATGATTTTTATTTGGATCCTATATATTTTCATTATGTTTTGGGGATTATTTTAGTAGTTATTTATCCGGTTGAGGTTTAGCATATAAATTTTTACTGTATTTTGGGAACTTTGTTCCTATAGGAGTTTATTTTCACGAGTCCCTGCAATGTTTTTCTTGTGTTGACATTCTGGGTTTGTTGGTGATCTTGCTTTGTCCCTGCTCATGCTATATGCAGAGGCATATGGTACCCCCTTGGACCTGCTAGTGCTGACTGACTTTTTGAAAGGAGGACAGAACCTTCATGGCTGGGTCTCCTTGTGCCACCTGGTGGAGGGCATGCAGAAACAGAGCTCTGCTGTTGTTTCTGCTGTGGTACATGGAACTACCCATGAGGGCCCCAGCTGTGGAACAGAAGCTATGAAAGCCCAGGGTGTCACTGCCATTACTGGCAGTAGGTCAAGTCATGTAGATGGGCCCCAGGTGTAGAATAGAGTTTGGGATTTTCCTGTATGTCTCTTTTGGGCTTATATTTCCTGATCCTTTGTCTAGGATCAGGTTTTTCTGGATATTGTTTTATTTGGTTTATGATTGCTAATAGTTCCAGGTCACAAACCTCCTTGTTGCCCAATTCACAGCATACAAGAGATTAAAAACAAAACAAAACAAAAAAAAACCACAGAGGGAGCTTACTATATTGATGTCCTCAAGTTAGGAGGTGACTATTTGGTATAGTTTCAGTGTTCCTATATCACTGTCTGTTGAAAAATTTCTAGGGTTTTAGTGATCTTTAGAGGAGAAAAGCAAGGGCAAGTGGATCTGTGTCTTCCAGTTTCTAAACTGATACCCCTATAAACTGAATTTAATGCCTGTCCTTGCTCTCCACTGCAGTCATCTTTTTCAACTGTCATGTGCTTCCAGGTACTTAAGTGGTAGAGTTTAGGGCCCCAAAGTCTCACAATTTGTTATTTTCAAATTGGTTGGTATTCTTTGTGCTCCCTAAAGATGTCATGGTTTCTTTGTAGACCACAGAGTTAAGGGAGCCAGAAACTAACAAGGTTTTTCCAAAGCATACAGATGTCTCAGGTTCTCATTTCATACAAGCATTGCCCTACTAGAAAAAATCAATTAAACTGATTCTATATATTTTTTTAATTTTTTATTGTGGGTTGTTCAAAACATTACAAATTTCTTGACATATCATATTCCACACTTTGATTCAAGTGGGTTATGAACTCCCACCTTCACCCCATACACAGATTGCAGAATCACATCAGTTACACATCCATTGATTTACAAATTGCCATACTAGTGTCTGTTGTGCTCCGCTGCCTTTCCCATCCTCCACCATCCCCCCTCCCCACCTCTCCTCTCCCCTCCCCTCCTCTCTCTCTACCCCCTCCACTGTATAACCCTGAGGGTCTCCTTCCATTACCGTGCAATTTCCCTTCTCTCTCCCTTTCCCTCCCACCTCTCATCCCTGTTAAATGTTAATCTTCTTCTCCTGCTCTTCGTCCCTACTCTGTTCTTAGTTACTTTCCTTATATCAAAGAAGACATTTGGCATTTGTTTTTTAGGGATTGGCTAGCTTCACTTAGCATAATCTGCTCTAATGCCATCCATTTCCCTGTAAATTCTATGATTTTGTCATTTTTTAATGCAGAGTAATACTCCATTGTGTATAAATGCCACATTTTTTTTATCCATTCATCTATTGAAGGGCATCTAGGTTGGTTCCACAGTCTTGCTATTGTGAACTGTGCTGCTATGAACATCGATGTAGCAGTGTCCCTGTAGCATGCTCTTTTTAGGTCTTTAGGGAATAGACCAAGAAGGGGAATAGCTGGGTCAAATGGTGGCTCCATTCCCAGCTTTCCAAGAAATCTCCATACTGCTTTCCAAATTGGCAGCACCTAGGGATAACAGGAACATACCTCAATATTGTAAAAGCAATCTATGCTAAGCCTCAGGCTAGCATCATTCTGAATGGAGAAAAACTGAAGGCATTCCCTCTAAAATCTGGAACAAGACAGGGATGCCCTCTCTCTCCACTTCTCTTCAACATAGTTCTCGAAACACTGGCCAGAGCAATTAGACAGACGAAAGAAATTAAAGGCATCAAAATAGGAAAAGAAGAACTTAAATTATCACTATTTGCAGATGATATGATTCTATACCTAGCAGACCCAAAAGGGTCTACAGAGAAACTATTAGAGCTAATAAATGAATTCAGCAAAGTGGCAGGATATAAAATCAACACGCATAAATCAAAGGCATTCCTGTATATCAGTGACAAATCCTCTGAAATGGAAATGAGGACAACCACTCCATTCACAATATCTTCAAAAAAAATAAAATACAATGCTAAGCAAGAAGTGTGAATCAGGCGGTATAGCGATACCAGACTTCCAACTATACTACAGAGCAATAGTAACAAAAACAGCATGGTACTGGTACCAAAACAGGCGGGTGGACCAATGGTACAGAATAGAGGACACAGAAACCAATCCACAAAACTACAACTATCTTATATTTGATAAAGGGGCTAAAAGCATGCAATGGAGGAAGAATAGCATCTTCAACAAATGGTGCTGGGAAAACTGGAAATCCATATGCAACAAAATGAAACTGAATCCCTTTCTCTCGCCATGCACAAAAGTGAATTCAAAATGGATCAAGGAGCTTGATATCAAATCAGAGACGTGCCGTCTGATAGAAGAAAAAGTTGGCTACGATCTACATACTGTGGGGTCGGGCTCCAAATTCCTCAATAGGACACCCATAGCACAAAATTTAATAACTAGAATCAACAAATGGGACTTACTCAAACTAAAAAGTTTTTTCTCAGCAAAAGAAACAATAAGAGAGGTAAATAGGGAGCCTACACCCTGGGAACAAATCTTTACTCCTCACACTTCAGATAGAGCCCTAATATCCAGAGTATACAAAGAACTCCAAAAATTAGACAATAAGAGAACAAACAACCCAATTAACAAATGGGCCAAGGACCTGAACAGACACTTCTCAGAGGAGGACATACAGTCAATCAACAAGTACATGAAAAAATGCTCACCATCTCTAGCTGTCAGAGAAATGCAAATCAAAACCACCCTAAGATACCATCTCACTCCAGTAAGATTGGCAGCCATTATGAAGTCAAACAACAACAAGTGCTGGCGAGGATGTGGGGAAAAGGGTACACTGATTCTATATTTGAGGTGTTGATGAAGAAACATTGTGGTCCCATAGTTTCTAGGAGAAAACCTACTCTGCCATTTTAATTACCTATAGTTTTTAAATTTTATTCTTGGTAAAAATACCTTCCATTTCATTTTCTTTTTCCTTCCTCCTGAAGATGATTTATCTTGCTCGAAATGCCAAGGATGTTGCAGTATCATTTTACCATTTTGACTTAATGAATAATTTTCAACCTTTTCCTGGAACATGGGAAGAATATCTGGAGAAATTTATGACTGGAGATGGTAAGTAGGCCTTAGCTTATAATTTATAATTTTTTTAAATTTTAAACAATACTATTAACCATTACTGTTAATGTAATGACTTTTTCATTCAAAAAAATTTTTTTTCAAGTCAGTACATTCAAATCCAGGAGAAATGCATTCAAATTTTATTTTATAAAATTAAATGAAATATATCTAACATTTTACTCTGACATTCAATTTGTAAACCTGATATGAATCATTGGTATAATGAAAGTATTTTAGAATCCTTTCTCAGTTGCTAGAAATCCATTCTCATTCTCTGCTCACAATAAATATTGTTTAACTTGCCCAAATCACTAGTTAGATCTGTTTTAAGTTTTAAGTTTAAGCTTGAATTGTATTTATAATAGTCAGATATATGTTGTGAACAATGTGTATAAAAATAGTTTCCTTCCTTGTGAGGTCGAGTGTAATTTATTAGCAGTCATTGTATTTTTATTTGAAATGTTTCCTTTGTATTTCACATTTAAAAAATTTAATTGCTTATACATGTAAAAATATCTAATTTTACCTTTTAAAAAATGATTTTATATTCTCAGTTCCAGTGATCACCAAATTCCACAAAATGTCTTTACGATTTAACTTATTGTTCAGGAAAAATTGATTTAATAAATGCTTATGGAAATAGACTTTTTTCCCCCTGGTTTTAGTGGCCTATGGTTCATGGTTTAATCATGTGAAGGGCTGGTGGAAGAAAAAGGAAGAACATCCAATACTTTTCTTGTACTATGAAGATATGAAAGAGGTAAAAGTGGTGGATATTTATTCTGGATAACATCCCTGCCCTGTTTAGGATATAAAGATTAATGTTTACTTTTAAAATTAATCTATCAAGTCCAAAATAATATCATTGCTTTTCTATCTCCTATATCTTCTTATCCATCTTTATTCCATCATTAATAACATTCTAATTATAAAATCCATGACTTATATTCATTATTCTTGTCTCTTCATTACTATGTTTCTTTTGACCATCCTTTCTTTTCAAATTTTTCTTCTAAATTTACATTTACCCAGATTTTGCACTCATGAGTAACCTTTGGATACTGTCCACAACTCAAGTTTTTTTTTTTTTTAATTGTTTGCTACATTTGAGCAATCATTCCATGTTCACTTTTTCCATGAATATTTATGTCACTCTCCAACATACAAATAGAAAATGCAGTTTAGTAAATTCTAACTCATCACTCTCAACTTCAGCTTAACTTTCCCAAAATCTTTCTAGACACATCCACATAGGCTTAAATGCTTCCAAAGAAGTTACAAAGATAAGTTTATGTCATTAACAACTGAAAATGATCCACTTTTCATATTTTGCTCATTTTATCCTTAATATTTAATGAGTAGTTTAGGTCTTGATATCTTTGCACCTTTGAATCAATCATTCTTTCTTTCTTTCTTCTTTTTCCTTTTTAGAGGTGCTCAGATTAAACCCATGGCTAAGCATGCTAGGCAAATACTCTCTACTGAGCCCTGGAATCTACTATTTCTTAAGAGTTTATGACCAACAAAGTTGGGCATAATCAGTTAGTCTAAAAAGTGAAAATATTTTGAGTTGCCAATGTTTAATTACTTTAAAAATTAAGGAGAATACACCCAACACACTATAAATTTCCTTCAACATTTAGAGTCAACCCATAAGAAAATAATAAATGTGTATTTTTTACATTATGATAGTCATTTACACAATTTTCATTTCCTTGGATGTGTGTTTTACCCACTGATAGAATCCAAAGGAGGAAATCAAGAAGATTACTAGATTTCTAGAGAAGAACCTAAATGATGAGATCTTGGATAAGATCATCCATCACACCTCATTTGAAGTGATGAAGGACAATCCTCTGGTGAATTACACACACCTGCCCACTGCAATGTTGGATCACAGCAAATCCCCTTTCATGCGTAAAGGTAAATTCTTTGTTCATTTTAATTTTCTGTTTTACTTTCTTGTGGAGGATTATCTCTATGACCTCTTCTGCATTACTTAGCCTCTTTAGGCTTCAGTTCTTCATCTGTAAAAATAGGACACTGATATTTACCTAGCACCAAAATTTGCTCAATTAGAGTCAACATTATTAAATGAAGCAATGTGTGAAAGCTCTTTGTAGAAAACATTAAATATCTGAAGAATATTTCTCCTGTTATTTACTATTCTGTTAAGTGAGAATGATTTTTTGACAATTGTGATATAATTCCAAGTTTGTCATTCTTACTTCTTTAATTCTTTGTCTACATTGGTATAGGCCCCTTTCCACTCCTCAATGATATATGAATTTTACTCAGTTACAGAACTCTGTTCTTTACAGCCACCAGTTCATTTAGACAATAGTGATAAATTTACAAAGGAGATTCACCAAAAGAAAGCATTTTTTAAAAATTTTTAGCACTTTGGGAAATTGTTGCTCCCCATAGATACTATCTGAATTACAGGATACATAGGGTACAAATTTAACATAGAAGAATATAGCATTTGTTTTTGACATACAGTTTTACCTCATTTAAGAAAATTGTGTAAAAAAAATCATTTCTCAAGGAGTCACATTTAATATTTCCTTCTTCAAAATGGATTTTTAAAGGTAGTATGTATCCTTTACCACAAAGTTTAGAAAAATACATCAAATTCATATTTTGAAAAGGACTGAACAGATGAATACAAATTGTCCATTTTTTTTTCTCCACTTCTGGAACATTATCATGCTGGTGGAGAGAGAAAGAATAAATATCAGTCAAGCTCATCTGTAACAAAATCAATTATGTGAGAGCATATCAAGGACTTTCAACATGGCTGTCCTCAGCCTGACATGCCAGTCCCTGGATTATTTTTACGATGTTTGAATTGCCTATTTGTAGGAAGATATATTAACATTAAACATCAGAGTATTTTTGTACCCTCCTTCTTTCTATGACCACTGGTTACTTTGGCTAGTGTCAGGGCTGAGGTTCCTGAGCATAAAGTTGGGAACAGTAACTGGTTACTCTGTTTGATGAACACTGGTCTTGTGTGGAATAAACACATAAATATAATAGTAGTTTTTGACAGGATGGAAATCAATTATTTGTTGCTTTTCCCCATGCAAATTTTGTCCAGGAGTTAAAGTTATGTAATTTCCAGGAGAGTTTTACCTCCAATCACATGAAAATAGAGGCCATCCTATAGTATCTCATAAGATGTACAAGTAGAGGAGACCAGCTCTTTATTTGGATGCTATGACTTCTCCAATTTCAACAGTAAAGAGTATGCCTGTCTAATAATGGGTCAGTTTTTGTATCTCCTCTAGTGGTGACACAGATCAAACATTTGTGGTTAGATAGATCTAAAGCATATATCCAGGCTATGCATTTGCTAAAATCTATGACATTTAATACATCAAGTCCTCCACCAAAACTATGCCTACCTCACTGACAAAATGGGGAAAATATTAACATCTATGGCTCAAGCTTTGTGGGAAGATTGTAGCAAATGAAATGAAAGCATTTAGGACATTTTCTAAACTACACATAAAGAAGTAATAAATATTATGAGTCGGGGCTGTGATTGTGGCTCAGCTATAGAGTGCTCACCTAGTATGTGGGAGGCCCTGGGTTTGCTCCTCAGCACCACATAAAAAATAAATAAATAAAATAAAGATATTGTGTCCAGTTACAACCAAAAAAGAAATAAATAAATATTATGAGTCTACATAGTTCAAGATTCATTCATTCATTCTTTCATGTATTCACTTAAAAATTCACATACAGGAAAAGCTCTTTTTGAATACCTATTTGAAGCACTATTATCTAGGCCATTTAGGGATAAATGACACAAACATTTGCTTCACAGAGCTAATGATGGGGTATAAGAATCATAAAATTGAATGCTGAAACGGGTATAGGACACAGGAGTTAGTCACGCCCAGTCTTGAAGGCTACTTCATGGAAAAATCAATGTCCTCATTTAGTGGCACAACAGACACCATAATAGGGAGGGGACAGATGATATCCAATGTCCCAAATTGCAACAAAACAAATATCTGGCCTTTAGTTAGTGTTTAGTTTATTTAAAAAATTATTACAAAGTGTTTGTGTATATTGTATAATTTATTCACAGATCAGAAGACCCCTATAATGCTTAATGTACAACTTTTTATTTCTTAAATTTGTGTTCTCTGTTTTTAATGACATCTTTGAAGATGAACTACCCCAAATATGTCTGTGTTGATCTTCATGTACATTACAAAGAGCTACTGACATCTGGTGAACATAAAATAAAGTATAATAACCAAGGAAACAACCTTGTTAGAAGGACTTTTTCACTTAGAGAACTTAGAAGTTTTATTTAAGTATCATGAATTAACATAGTTTGTAATTCAATGTGGTATAATTAATATTTTATAAAATGGGAAAAGTATTATTCCAAGAATATTTGTTGCACATTAACAGTTCATTCATTTAAAAAAATAATTTTTATAACCATCCAAGTATGAGAAATTAAATGTAAATTTATACCCCCCCCATTTAATTTTTGAAAAGATGTTCAGGGATGTTATATGTGTGATTTTATTATTATTATTTTTTACCAAAACTGCAAAAAAGGTGCAAACCTGATGAAAACAAGTATCTTCCAAATATCATTACATTTTCACTTATAAATACTAGAAAACTATACTCATCAGCTTTCTGTTTCATAGTTTTTTGGGCTAATGAATCTTCTTTGTACATTTTCCCAAAGTAACTCAGGAAATATACTATGCCCTCACTATTGATCCAGAGGATTCACTGATAACCCCATGACCCAGAACAGTCAGAAAAAGTAAAAGAATCTCTCTCAGGAAAAAAATTTACTTCCATGTATTTGTATAAGAAAATCAGCCTTTCTAACTTTTTAAAGTTTAGACTGTATGTTTAGTTATAAGTCACATTTACAGATGAGAGAAAATGTCCAACTTTTTAAGGAAATGACATTTTATTTATTTATTTATTTTTTAAATTTTTTATTGTTGGTTGTTGAAAACATTACAAATTTCTTGACATATCATATTCCACACTTTGATTCAAGTGGATTATGAACTCCCACCTTCACCCCATACACAGATTGCAGAATCACATCAGTTACACATCCACTGATTTACATATTGCCATACTAGTGTCTGTTGTGCTCCGCTGCCTTTCCCATCCTCCACCATCCCCCTCCCCACCTCTCCCCTCCCCTCCCCTCCTCTCTCTCTACCCCCTCCACTGTATAACCCTGAGGGTCTCCTTCCATTTCCATGCAATTTCCCTTCTATCTCCCTTTCCCTCCCACCTCTCATCCCTGTTAAATGTTAATCTTCTTCTCCTGCTCTTCGTCCCTAATCTGATCTTAGTTACTCTCCTTATATCAAAGAAGACATTTGGCATTTGTTTTTTAGGGATTGGCTAGCTTCACTTAGCATAATCTGCTCTAATGCCATCCATTTCCCTGCAAATTCTATGATTTTGTCATTTTTTAATGCAGAGTAATACTCCATTGTGTATAAATGCCACATTTTTTTATCCATTCGTCTATTGAAGGGCATCTAGGTTGGTTCCACAGTCTTGCTATTGTGAATTGTGCTGCTATGAACATCGATGTAGCAGTGTCCCTGTAGCATGCTCTTTTTAGGTCTTTAGGGAATAGACCAAGAAGGGGAATAGCTGGGTCAAATGGTGGCTCCATTCCCAGCTTTCCAAGAAATTTCCATACTGCTTTCCAAATTGGCTGCACCAATCTGCAGTCCCACCAGCAATGTACAAGTGTACCCTTTTCCCCACATCCTCGCCAGCACTTGTTGTTGTTTGACTTCATAATGGCTGCCAATCTTACTGGAGTGAGATGGTATCTTAGGGTGGTTTTGATTTGCATTTCTCTGACAGCTAGAGATGGTGAGCATTTTTTCATGTACTTATTGATTGACTGTATGTCCTCCTCTGAGAAGTGTCTGTTCAGGTCCTTGGCCCATTTGTTAATTGGGTTGTTTGTTCTCTTATTGTCTAATTTTTGGAGTTCTTTGTATACTCTGGATATTAGGGCTCTATCTGAAGTGTGAGGAGTAAAGATTTGTTCCCAGGGTGTAGGCTCCCTATTTACCTCTCTTATTGTTTCTTTTGCTGAGAAAAAACTTTTTAGTTTGAGTAAGTCCCATTTGTTGATTCTAGTTATTAAATTTTGTGCTATGGGTGTCCTAGTGAGGAATTTGGAGCCCGACCCCACCGAATGTAGATCGTAGCCAACTTTTTCTTCTATCAGACGGCACGTCTCTGATTTGATATCAAGCTCCTTGATCCATTTTGAATTCACTTTTGTGCATGGCGAGAGAAAGGGATTCAGTTTCATTTTGTTGCATATGGATTTCCAGTTTTCTCAGCACCATTTGTTGAAGATGCTATCCTTCCTCCATTGCATGCTTTTAGCCCCTTTATCAAATATAAGATAGTTGTAGTTTTGTGGATTGGTTTCTGTGTCCTCTATTCTGTACCATTGGTCTACCCGCCTGTTTTGGTACCAGTACCATGCTGTTTTTGTTACTATTGCTCTGTAGTATAGTTTGAAGTCTGGTATCGCTATACCGCCTGATTCACACTTCCTGCTTAGCATTGTTTTTGCTATTCTGGGTCTTTTATTTTTCCATATGAATTTTATGATTGCTTTCTCTATTTCTACAAGAAATGCCATTGGGATTTTGATTGGCATTGCATTAAACCTATAGAGAACTTTTGGTAATATCGCCATTTTGATGATGTTAGTTCTGCCTATCCATGAACAGGGTATATTTTTCCATCTTCTAAGATCTTCTTCTATTTCTCTCTTTAGGGTTCTGTAGTTTTCATTGTATAAGTCTTTCACCTCTTTTGTTAGGTTGCTTCCCAAGTATTTTATTTTTTTTGAAGATATTGTGAATGGAGTGGTTGTCCTCATTTCCATTTCAGAGGATTTGTCGCTGATATACAGGAATGCCTTTGATTTATGCGTGTTGATTTTATATCCTGCCACTTTGCTGAATTCATTTATTAGCTCTAATAGTTTCTCTGTAGACCCTTTTGGGTCTGCTAGGTATAGAATCATATCATCTGCAAATAGTGATAATTTAAGTTCTTCTTTTCCTATTTTTCTGCCTTTAATTTCTTTCGTCTGTCTAATTGCTCTGGCTAGTATTTCGAGAACTATGTTGAAGAGAAGTGGAGAGAGAGGGCATCCCTGTCTTGTTCCAGATTTTAGAGGGAATGCCTTCAGTTTTTCTCCATTCAGAATGATGCTAGCCTGAGGCTTAGCATAGAATTCTTTTACAATATTGAGGTATGTTCCTGTTATCCCTAGTTTTTCTAGAGTTTTGAACATAAAGGGATGCTGTACTTTGTCGAATGCTTTTTCCGCATCTATCGAGATGATCATATGGTTCTTATTTTAAGTCTATTGATGTGGTGAATAACATTTATTGATTTCCGTATATTGAACCAGCCTTGCATCCCAGGAATGAATCCTACTTGATCATGGTGCACAATTTTTTTGATATGTTTTTGTATCTGATTTGCCAGAATTTTATTGAGGATTTTTGCATCTAGGTTCATTAGAGATATTGGTCTGTAGTTTTCTTTCTTTGAAGTGTCTTTGTCTGGTTTAGGTATCAGGGTGATGTTGGCCTCATAGAATGAATTTGGAAGTTCTCCCTCTTTTTCTATTTCCTGAAGTAGCTTGAAAATTATTGGTATTAGTTCTTCTTTAAAGGTTTTGTAAAATTCTGCTGTATACCCATCCGGTCCTGGGCTTTTCTTAGTTGTAGTCTTTTTATGGTTTCTTCTATTTCCTCAATTGATATTGGTCTGTTTAGGTTGTCTATATCCTCCTGACTCAATCTGGGCAGATCATATGACTTAAGAAATTTATCTATGCCTTCACTATCTTCTAATTTATTGGAGTATAAGGATTTAAAATAGTTTTTGATTATCTTCTGTATTTCTGAAGTGTTTGTTGTGATATTGCCTTTTTTATCCCGTATGCTAGTAATTTGAGTTCTCTCTCTTCTTCTCTTCGCTAGCATGGCTAAGGGTCTGTCGATTTTGTTTATTTTTTCAAAGAACCAACTTTTAGTTTTGTCAATTTTTTCAATTGTTTCTTTTGTTTCGATTTCATTAATTTTAGCTCTGATTTTAATTATTTCTTGCCTTCTACTTCTTTTGCTGTTGTTTTGCTCTTCTTTTTCAAGGATTTTGAGATGAAGTATGAGATCATTTATTTGTTGGTTTTTTCTTTTTTTAAGGAATGAACTCCAAGCAATGAATTTTCCTCTTAGAACTGCTTTCAATGTGTCCCATAGATTCCCATATGTTGTGTCTGTATTTTCATTCATCTCTAAGAATTTTTTAATTTCCTCCTTGATGTCTTCTATAACCCATTGATCTTTCAGTAACCTATTGTCCATTCTCCAAGTGATGTATGCTTTTTCCTTCCTTCTTTTATAGTTGATTTTCAGTTTCATTCCATTATGATCAGATAAGATGCATGGTATTATCTCTACTCCTTTATATTGTCTAAGAGTTGCCCTGTGACATAATATATGATCTATTTTTGAGAAGGATCCATGTGCTGCTGAGAAAAAAGTGTAACTGCTTGATGTTGGGTGGTATACTCTATATATGTCAATTAAGTCTAGGTTATTAATTGTGTTATTGAGTTCTATAGTTTCCTTATTCAACTTTTGTTTGGAAGATCTGTCCAGTGGGGAGAGAGGTGTGTTGAAGTCTCCCATGATTATTGTATGGTGGTCTATTAGACTCTTGAACTTGAGAAGAGTTTGTTTGACGAACATAGCTGCACCATTGTTTGGGGCATAAATATTTATGATTGTTATGTCTTGTTGGTGTATGGTTCCCTTAAGCAGTATGTAGTGTCCCTCTTTAACCCTTTTGATTAACTTTGGCTTGAAATCTATTTTATTTGATATGAGTATGGACACTCCTGCTTGTTTCCGAAGTCCATATGAGTAATATGATTTTTCCCAACCTTTCACCTTCAGTCTATGTATGTCTTTTCCTATCAAATGCATCTCCTGTAGGCAGCATATTGTTGGGTCTTGTTTTGTGATCCATTCTACTAGCCTGTGTCTCTTAATTGGTGAGTTTAAGCCATTAACATTTAGGGTTATTATTGAGATATGGGTTGTTCTTCCAGCCATATTTGTTTATTTATGTTACTAAACATGGTTTGTTTTCCTCTTTGATTATTTCCCCCCCCTTTACTGTCCTACCTCCCACTGTTGGTTTTCATTGTTATTTTCTATTTCCTCTTCCTGTAATGCTTTGGCGAGGATGTTTTTTAGAGATGGTTTTCTAGCTGCGAATTCTTTAAACTTTTGTTTATCGTGGAAGGTTTTAATTTCATCTTCCATCCTGAAGCTTAATTTCGCTGGATACACAATTCTTGGTTGGAACCCATTTTCTTTCAGTGTTTGAAATATGTTATTCCAGGATCTTCTAGCTTTCAGCGTCTGTGTTGAAAGATCAGCTGTTATCCTGATTGGCTTACCCCTAAATGTAATCTGCTTCCTTTCTCTTGTAGCTTTTAAAATTCTCTCCTTATTCTGTATTTTGGGCATCTTCATTATATTGTGTCTAGGTGTGGATCTCTTATGATTTTGCACATTCGGCATCCTGTAGGCTTCTAGGATTTGGGATTCTGTCTCATTCTTCAAGTCTGGGAAGTTTTCTCGTATTATTTCATTGAATAGACTGCTCATTCCTTTGGTTTGGAGCTCTGTATCTTCCTGTATCCCAATGACTCTTAAGTTTGGTCTCTTAATGTTATCCCATATTTCTTGGATGTTCTGCTCATGGTTTCTTAACAGTCTTGCTGAGCTGTCTATGTTCTTTTCCAGTTGAAATACTTTGTCTTCATTGTCTGATGTTCTTTCTTCTAAGTGTTCTACTCTGCTGGTAGTATTCTCCATTTAGTTTTTAAGTTGGTTTATTGCTTCCTGCATTTCTAGGATTTCTGTTTGTTTGTTTTTTATAACCTCTGTCTCCCTGTATAGTTGATCCTTTGCTTCCTGGATTTGTTTGCATAATTCATTGTCGAAGTGATCTTTCATTGTCTGATTTTGCTGTCTAATGTCTTCCTTGATACTCCAGATCATCTGAAGCATGTATATCCTGAATTCTTTATCTGACATTCCATCTGCTGCAGCTGTTACCTCTTCTAAAGTTGTGTTGACCTGCATTGCTTGTGGTCCTTTCTTTCCTTGTCTTTTCATACTGCTTGCATGTCTTTCCTGCAGGCGCGGGCGGCGCCTCTGCTCTCTCCTTATTCCAATTGGGGTGTTGTGTCTACCACGCCGGCAGGTCACTGGGCCTGTTCTGGGAGCTGGCGGCGGCTCTGTTCTGCCCCTACTCCAATTGGGGTGACGAGTGTACCACGCCGGCAGGCCACCAGGCCTGATCCGCCGGTCGGTTGCAGGTTTGCCTACCCTGCAGGCGCGGGCGGCGGCTCTACTGTGCCCCTACTCCAAATGGGGTGACGTGTCTGTCGTACCGGCAGGCCACTGGGCCTGTCCCACTGGTCGGTCGCAGATCTGCCCACCTTTCGGGCACGGGTGGTGGCTCTGCTCTGCCCCTACTCCAATTGGGGTGTCGTGACTACCCCGCCTGCAGGTCGCTGGGCCTGTTCCTGGCACGGGCGGCGACTCTGCTCTGCCCCTACTCCAATTAGGGTGGTGTGTATACCATGCCGGCAGGCTCCTGGGCCTGATCTGCCCATCTGTCGCAGGTCTGCCTACCTTGCAGGCGCTGGCGGCGGATCTGCCCTGCCCCTCCTACCACGCCTGCGGACCCCTGGGCCTGATCTGCAGGTTGGTCACAGGTCTGCTCACCCTGCGGTTCCGCTCCACCCCCACTCCAATTGGGGTCACGTGACCACCACACCGGCAGGGCCTGATCCGGTTGTGGGCGAAGGATCTGCTCTGCCCCTACTCCAGTTGGGGTGACGTGTGTACCACGCTGGGAGGCCACTGGGCCTGACCCACCAGTCTGTCACAGGTCTGTTTACCTTGCAAGCGCGGGCGGCGGCTCTGCCCTGCCCCTCCTACCAAGCCCATGTACCACTGGGTCGCGGGTCTGCCCACCTTGCAGGTGCAGGTGGCGGCTCCGCTCCGCCCCCTCTCCAACTGGGGTCATGCGGTCACCACGCTGGCGAGCCGCTGGGCCTGCTCCTGGCGCTGGGGGCGGCCCGGCTCCTCCCCTCTGGTTCGACGACAAATCGAGGAGACTCGGGTGTCTGTGCCTCACCCCCCCTACCAGGAGACCAACTGTTTCTTTCGCCGCTGGTATTGATGAAGTTCTCTCCTCCGCTGCTTTCTGATGACATCAGATCTCTGCCATGTTGGTATCCTATGCGAATGGCAGCATTTCATTCCCCTTGTCGGGCAACCAAAGCAACGGGTGAGTCCTGACCGGCCCTCAGCAGGACCTGGACCGAGAAGCAGTTTCTGTGGGCTCCTAGCCCTGGGCCAGGGCAGTTCCGGGAGCCAGAACTCGGCCGCTCCGTGCTCGGTGTATGCTCCGATAGGAAATGACATTTTAAAGTTTTCATATACAAGCAAAGTTTTTTCTTAAGGTTTCTAATCTTTCCTTTGGTACATGTTAGGTTTTTCTTCATAATGGATATATTTTTATCTTTCGTATGTTTTCTTTTTTTTATTTTTTAGGGATTACTGGTGACTGGAAAAATTACTTTACAGCGGCCCAGAATGAGAAATTTGATGCCCTTTATAAAAAAGAAATATCTGGAACTACACTTTAATTTCGCACAGAGATTTAAACTGTAACTTGAAGAAACAGAAGATGACCCATAGTTTTTAGAAACAAAGCAGTTATATCTTGGCTGAGCAATAAAATGACTATAGGGAAGAAAAAGCATATTTTAAAACTTTGAATTTTTCAGCATCATTAATCAGGCTTCAGTTTGTTCTTCTGCCTCTGAGTTTCCTAATTCCCAAAGCCAAGGCCCATCATTCCTGTTTTGTAGGTTAATCCTGCCTTTTCCTAGATTAGACCAGATAAGACAGTATTTACCCTCCTCAGTCTCCCTATCGTATGACTGCTGTTTGTAACCTGACACTATATTTCCTGCCTCGACTGGTTTCCTTTGATGAATTATTGACCCAGGACACTGTGTTCCACTGCTGTTTACCAGGTGTGTCAAACTCTTCCTGAAGTCATAGCTCATCTTCCTCTATTTGGATAACACAGTTCATGTTCCAGATCCTATAATTTTTTTTCTGTACCTTATTTAATGTCCAGGTCTCCAAAGGGCAAAGACCTATATTGTTCTCTCTAAGGTCTTCCCTGGGGACTGGAGGTTGTCTCTTAGAGACTGTCTCTGTGAGCACCAGGACTTGCTTCCTGTGGACAGTCCTCTTCTCTTAGGAAACCCTTTTCAATTTCTATAGATCACACATTGCAGTGCTCTGGTCACTTTGATCTTTCTCCGAATAGATTTGGATTCCCTAATAGCACCCAAGATAAGGGTATAGCTGCCACTGAAAATTTCCCAGTCTGCTGTCCAAGGAAGACTAGCCTGAGTCTCACTCTGCCCTCCTGACCCAGGATCCCTCCTACCTACTATCCCACACTATGGCTACGTGCTTGGACTCTCGATAGACGTTTCCGGGAACATTCATATCTCAACTCTGGTTCTTCCATGCATGTAGCTATGCCTCTATCCATGTGCAGCAAAAACTTTTATCTGAAGTTCATATCACCATGTGCCAAATTAAATCCAAAGCCACAGTTCTTAAACTGAAGCTCATTAGAGTGCTCTGGGCTGGGCCTTTCCATGTTCCAGGAGTTGGAACTTCAAATGCATTTTAGACTCCCTGAGGCATAATACAAATATCAGTGGGTTGCAGTTTTGCAAATATACACTCTCAGTCTGGAATAGTTGAAACACTCCTTCACCCTGTAACTACACCCCTTTTCAATCCCAGCAGAAGAATAATGTAGTACTAAATGCAAATCCCCCAGAAATGATTGCCTCTGATTCTGGAAATATTTGCTTCTATACATTTACAGTGTATATTATAAATTATTTTAGGATAAGCAACTTGTGTTCATGCTCTTTAGAAACATATTTTGAAGGAGTTAATTCTATAAGTCTACGCATGTTATGAATACTAGCTATGTAGAATATTGTTTTTAAGAAGGAAGTAAAGTAAGCCAATCATGTGTCTATTTATTTGTTATCTTTACTAACAATGAGTAAATGTTGCCTGAATACATATGGGCTTCTGCTACTATAGTCTGTTACTGGGGAAAAAAATCTGAACTAGACTTTAATCTTTGTAATGGGTTGGCTGCACTAACTAATTTCACTAGCAGAATATAATAATTCCTACTTTCCCTAGTTTTCCTCTTTGGAATAAGTTTCTCACTGGACTTGATTCAACAGCAACAACAAAATACTGTAAGATTAAACTATTCTCCAGATATTTTTCTGTGCATTGAATGAAAAGTACAAAAAATTAGATTTTCCTTTACTCTTTTGTGGGTTATTGCCTCTTCTTCATTTCTTAGTCTATGATTCAAACATCCATTCAGATTCCCTCACTCTTAAGCTCACTCTCAGCACTATACAGTGAGACTCCTACTAGATTTTAGTTTCAGAAGTGCTTTATATCTTTTGAAACCCTACAAAAAATTGCCACCAAATTAATTTTTCTAAAACAATGTTTTCATCTCTATTTCTTATTCAGTTTCCAAATAAGACACAGTTGCATTGACCTCGTTCTAATGTTTTTTTTTTTTATTTTGTTTTGTTTTTCCCCTGACTGATGATGTACCATGACATAAGGACAGTAAGGACAAATGTCTGGCAATGTTTTCCTTATTCCCTCATCCATGGCAAGTCTCATTCATCAGGTCAAGTGTTGTTTTTCAAGAAGTCAACAAAGCCAAGTGAAGTGGTGCATGAATAAAATATAAATAATAGGGCTGCAGATGTGGCTGAGTGGTTAAGTGCCTCCTGAGTTCAATCCATAATAACAACAACAAGAAAAAATTCAATGAACAGCTTAAAGATTTTTTTTTTTCATCAGAGCACAATTAGGCCCTCACTTCCCAAAGGGAAATGATATCTATTTCATTTCACTCCACCCTGTTCTCATGAGATCTGTTCTAACTTGTCCTACCCACACCACTTAATCTCTTAATCTCTTTTCCCATTGATCTTATCTAAAAAGTTAAACCCTTTGAGGATTTTGACAGTTGAGTATATGCCCCATTTCACTTTAATCAAGACAACACTCTACTCCATATTACATATTCCTTTTCATATACAGACAAGAAGTTAATATAATCTCTTTCAAATACTTGCTATTAAAGAGATGTGGGAAGCCAATTATTTTGCTAGAGTTCTTCAGACAACTGAGAAAGGCAAGAAGGAAAAAATGGGCCTAAGAATAGGTAGTTTTTAGTAAGCTACCTGCACAAATGTCTCATTTATTTCTTGTGATCATTGAAAGTGTTATAAATAAAATATTTCCATGTTATTAAAACATGACTTTCAACAGCAAGCTTTTTAAGCAGCCAGCTACTTAGTACAAGCATATTGAAATGACTTTATCCAATCTTATTGTTTTCCCAAGATCAGTTGTCACATCTGTGAATATTATTGGAGAAAATTCATGGATAAGATTTATTGCACAAAAAATGGAATTAATTTAGAAATAAAGTGTATCTCCAAATCATTAAATTTTATTATCTATTTCTGAAGATCCTATTTTGTCCCAGTGCTATGTTCTTATCTTTTTATTCCATATATTTTTCACACCCCCATTCATTTTTTGTTTTTTGTCTTTCAGTGGGAGTTTGTTTCCTTTGTGTACTTATGTTGAAATCAATATCATAGATACTAGAGCATTCCTGTTAGGGATCTAGTAGTTTTAGAAATTGTTAAATTGTGCTAACAGAGTATTTATATTTCAAATGTAAATTGATATAGGTATGTGTTTTGGGGAACTTCTAATATTGTCTTATTGACACTTTCAACACCTTTGAGTGTTTTGTGTGACTCATCATAAAATCATGAAGAATACATGTAAAAATCATGTAAAATACATGTAGAATCATGTATCCCACTGGGTGTGGTGGTGCATGCCTGTAATCCCAGTGACTGTGAAGACTGAAACAGGAGGATTTACATGTTGGAGGCTAGCCTGGACAATGTAAAGAGAACTTGTCTCTAAATACAGTGAAAAGGGCCAGTGGTGTGGCTCAGTGGTAGAGTGCCCCTGCATTCAATCCCCAGTACCATAAAAATAAACAAATTAATTTATTAATTAAAAATGCCAAGGAAATGCTTTCCAAAGTAGCTGAATATAAAGATAGCCTCAATACCAAGTTTCCCTTTATTCCTACCTGGTTTGGTGTCTGCATAGTTTTTTCTAGAGAAGGTCTGGATAGGAAAGTTTACTTTTTTATTTATAAAATCAATGAAAATCTCCTGCAATCAAAAGGAAAATATATTTGTAATTTTCCCCCTAAGAAGGCAGATTAATTGATATAAGAATATTTTGCTAAGCTTTACAAGATGCAAATGTTACCCTGGGTTTTAATTTTTCCTCTACCATATTCATTATACCACCTCTCCACTTTTAGACAGTATTGGTAAATTATATTAAATAGGCAATCATCTTCTCTTGTTTCTCAATATTGAGTGCATGAGTACTCAGAGTAAGAGACTGAAAATGGCAAAGCAGGGAGAAACAGAATATGAAAAGGATGGAAAGAAAATCAATAATTTAATTTAATAAAAGTGACTCTTTCTGTGTTTCTGGGTGTTTACAATTGTTTCTTTATAGGTTTTGTATACATCTGGTTAAATTAAAACCTAGTACTGTTATCTTTTGTGTTGGTATTATAAAAAACTTAACTTTCTTATAGTATGTCTACTATTCACTATTTGTATAAAGTTCTGCTCATATCTCAATTTAAATTTTATATCTTTTAATTTCCTGTATGTATTCACTTGTACTTTGTAATATTCTTCCAAATATACATTTAAATGAACTAAAACTAAAGATAAATTATGTCTTCCTTTCCAATATTTACAAGACTAGTTACCCTCTTTGTCTAATTTTATTGTTTGTAGTTCTAAAATTATGTTTATAATTGTAATGAAGATAATTCCATTTTTGTCTTATTTTAAAATTTCATAGAAATGATTCCATGATTTCCTTGTAAAACTGATTTATAAGTCATTTGAAGAAAATTAATTTCTCTTTTATTGAATGCATTATTTTTCAATATAGAATTGAGTGTTGGATTTCATCAACTTCCTTTTCCCCATGGAATTAAATATACAAATTTATTTTTAGTCCTATTGGTATACACATTTTAGTAATGGATTTCCTGTTAATGAATACTAACTTAAATTTAATCTATTTTTAACAATAGTTTGGGAATATATTATTAATAGTTGGCTTAAGGTTTGTTTTGTTTTACTTTGGGGTTTTACATTTTTGTTTGTTTTGTTTGGAGTGAAAGATGAGTGAAAGGAATTTGCTAGCATCAAGTAGGAAAAAGACAAAGACAATGTTCTCTTCAGTTATTTATCAGTCATAGTCTAATCGATCTTATTGTATTTGACCAGTGAGAATATTATCTATTCTTGCATTCAAAATTCATAGAAAATAATAAATAAGATAAAGTTTTAAAAATTATGCTTTAATCACATTATGGTTAAGCATGTAGATGTTGTAGTCTTAAAGCCTACATCCAAATCCTAACTGAATCATTAAATCTTTTAGTCACATGGGTAAGGTAGATAAACTTTCTATGTCCTAGATTGTTTTCGTGGGAAAATGTAAATAATAATATTACCTAATTGAAAAGCTGTGGTAAAATTAAATTAGTTAATTTACATAAAGTACTGAAAATAGCACATGGAAGTGTTCCATAAATGTTAAAGCACAGAAAACTAAAAGTGTCATGGAATGCAATGAAAATTCATATTGAAAAAAATAAAGTGTATGAAATTGATCATAGGAGAAGACAATTGTTCTGAGGCTGTTAAATAAGAGGAGCTCCTTGAGAGTGCATTGTGCAATAGACTGCAATATGGTTGTCATAATGGCTCCTGCTCTGACTCTAAGCTGGGCTAGTGAACTTATTTGACCTACTAGAACTCTACAGAGGTAAAATGTGACTTCAAAGTACAGTCCCTAAGAAGCTTTGCAGATATCACTCTCACTCTCTTAGGTTAGTGCTAAGGTCCAAGCTACGTGGCGGCTCTTCACAGGACAGTCTCAGAACACTGTTACAAGAGTGTGAGCAGCAGACACTATCAATGACATCTTAGACAATCTAAGTAGAGTTAATTGGTTAGGATTTTATTTACCTCTCTCTCTCTCTTTCTCTCTCTTTATACCAGGGATTGAACTCAGGGGGGCTTAACCCACAAACCCAGCCTGCTGTTTATTTTTGAGACAGGGTCTCACTAAGTTGTTCAGGGCCTCACTAAGTTGCTGAGGCTGGCTTTGAATTTTCGACCTTCCTACTTCAGCCTTGCAAGTCACTGGGATTATAGGCATGGGCCACCTCACCTAGCTAATTAGGATTTTCTAGAGATGTAGAACCAACATGGTGTGTTTGTGTGTGTGTGTGCACGTACTTAGTTGACTCACAAAACTGGTAGCCGGTAAAATGATTGTTGTTTGAAGTTACTAAGTTTTGTGATGAAATTTTCATAGTGATAAATTATACACATGGGAAAACATAACTCTTAAAATGATAAGAATATATTTGATAAGAATTTGTCAAGTGCTTTTTAAATACTGATAAGCAATATTGCTGTCTTGTAAATCAGCTTATTTGTAAACCTTGATATTGGAGATACTTTAGCCTCTTCATGATAAGCAATAAATATTGCTGTGTCATTGGACAGGGGTCAAATGGATCATTTCCATGGAAAACTCCATCAACTTCAACAATTTTCTTGCTAAATAGATAATTACGTGAATTTTGCTACAAATCTGTGAGGGAGTGTAGCAGGATGTCGCAAGCTGCGCTGTTAATAATTACTCAGAGGCAGATTTTCTTTAATGCAAGCGTATATTGGATCACACCAATCATCAAACATAAACAATTAATGCAAAAAGTGTTGGGTGTGCTGGAGCACCCCAACTAACATTTAATGCACACTAATTACCATTACAAGCAAATCACACAATCCTAGGGCAATCCCAAGCTCCCTGACAGAGGTTAAGTGACTTCCCCTAGCCAAAGAGCAGACGTTGTTGTTGTTGTCATTGTCCAGTGGTTCTCTCTAGCCAATGGTTGGACGACAGGGAATGATGGAGTCATCTGAGGATGGATATCAAGGTGGCCAGTCTCACTGATGTCCTAGAAGCAGCCTCTTGATGTGGTGGACAAGCGATTTAAACATAACCAAGTTGGTGATTGGTTACACCCAGTGAAAGTCAATGTCCATTGGTTATGTCCAGTGAGATGATGTAATTGCAATAGGGCATGTTCTTTGCACATGTCCATGGAACTGTGCTTCCTATCGATTGTAACCAGTCATTGTTAAGTATGCCTATGGCTAGTGACCCTTACAACTCCTTATCAATTGCAACCAGCATCTCTATGGTTGCTGTTCTTTATGGCCAGCAACTCAGTGAGTCCCAGCATGTCCCAACATGTCTATGGCAGATGCTCTTTACAGAAGAATAGAAACTTATTAGAATCATTGGGAGTCTTTAGGTCTAGTGTGTCAACTTTCATCATGTTTTCCTTATTTGGAGTCTCTTGTCAAATTGGACATCACCCTACTCAATGTTTTCAAAATTAATGTCTTGAATCATTCTAAGTTGAACATTTAACTATTTATAGCAAATAAAACTCCTCCATGAGAAAACAAACTGTCTTTCACATTATAGTCTTTATATTTGAATTGAGATTTGCTGCTTTTTTCTCCACCCTGCCTTTGATTTTTTTTTTTCCCTTGTGGTTCTGGGATTTAATCCAGAGCCTATCACATACAAGTGCTCTACCATTGTGCTACATTCTAGCCCCAAACTAACTATATATTATGCAGGTATTTATGTAAGTATGTATGTATTTATTTTTTTTGTGTGGTGCTGGGATGGAACCACAGGCCCTTGTGCACGTGAGTAGAGCACTCTACCAACTGAACTATATTCCCAGCTCTAACTATTTTAAAAATCAAAGTTACCAAAGAAAATCTGTTGGGTTAAAATGAATACATATTACTGAATGAGTTTATTACTTGGACACATTATGATAAAATGATTCAAAATAATAGTGTAATTCAAATATACATACATACTCTCACATATGATGGCATTTTGGCAGGAAAAACATTGACTTCGAAGCTATATTTTGTGACAAAGATCATAAAAAAATAGGGCATGATCTAACAGATTTGAAGTGAAAAATATAGGGATGAAACGAATTATCACTCATGCTGTTTTCCAGGTATGAAGACAAAAAAAATCTATTATAAACTGTCCAAAAACTCAGAAGTTTTAATCTGGCATCTCATATTGAAATATTTTCTTGAAGATCCATTCTACTAACTGATAATTAAATTATGCCAGCAATTGAATAACATAGATCATTTTATGCAACATGCATCAATTCTCTTTTGTCTAGTTTGAACTTGCACTCCATGAATCAACAAAAATATTTGCAGTCAGGTTTGTGCAATCCAAGTAGACTTTAACTAGAAGATCTGTGTGGTGACTCCTTAGTATCCTCTCCAGGATCACCATGCAAAGAGTATTTCTAAAAACTGCTTCCTATTTAGATCTGTATGACATTTATTGTCACATTTGTTTACCAATAAATACTGATGTTCTGCCCAAGTACTTAATTATAATTAAACATGACATATTTGGGACCCTATGCCAAAAGACATATGAACTTAATTTATTCTATTTTGCATTAAAACACAAAGCTGGGCATGGTGGCACATGTCTGTACTCCCAACAACTGGGAGGCTGTGACAGGAGGAATTCATGTTTGAAGCCAGCCTCAAGCAACTTAGCAAGACCCTGTCTCAAAATTTAAAAACACAATAGTTGAGGAGCACTGGGGATGTGACTTAGTTAAGCACCCCCAAATTAAATAAAACATGTTACAAAAAAAATGGTAAATTCTTTCCCAAGGATATTGCAAAATGAAAGTGTGTAATCTTAACACATTATTTATTTAATGATCTAAAATACTATCTTTTAAGTGGGGAATGGTGGTGCATACCTGTAATCCAGTGTCTCTGGAGGCGGCAAAAGGATCTTGAGTTCAAAGCTAGCCTCAGCAACTTAATGAGACCCTAAGCAACTCAGCAAGACCTTGTCTCTAAACAAAATACAAAAAAGGCTGGGGATGTGGCTCAGTGGTTAAGTAGCCTTGAGCTCAATCCTGGATACCAAATAAGTAAATAAATAAAAATAATACCTTTTAAAATGAAACAAAAAATCAATAAAATCATTTACTCTCGTCATTATAGAGTTCAGATAAATGCCTAGAATAAACATATTTCATTAAAAATTATTTCATGGTTAAGAATAAAAAATAGTAATTTTATATTGCATGATTTAGAGAGATTATAGAATATATGTCTTAATAATGATTCCAATATTAATAATCATTGTCAGCCATTATTTCAGATATACCAATAATAGATAGTAAAGGCAATATTCAATGCAAATAGTTTCCAGAGAACCAATAGAAGAATATACCTTTAACAAGAGATTAGTAAGCTTCATACTGTAATTGGGAGCATTGCTAAGTGTAAACAAAATCTGTTTAATCTTTTCTTCATTGAGTACCACATTACTCATCGTATCACTTTTGTCCTGCTAGGATTTATTTAAGTTGAATTTCTTCCTGATGACAAATTAGAACTACTAAAGTTCCTGCTGCAAACCTAAGGTAAGAAATTTGTAAACCTCATGAAAATCAATGTAGAATGTACATTTGGACTTATTCTATCTTTTCTTCTAAAACAAATATCAATCATTATAAGCTTTTGGGTTAATATTTGGTTAATTTCATTGCTTCCACTTAAAAACTTTTAAGTTCTATTCTGAAACAATTTGCAGGGGTTTTCTACCCAGGTTTTATATCTCAAAATTAATTGTTAGTTGTCAAGGGAAATGCATTATAAAGCATTAAACTCAGAGTCTTGGTCCAAGTGTGAACTCATCGTTTTCTTTAAACATTCATCTTAAACCCCTAGTTCCTTCTAGTGGAGAGTTAATTTATTCCTTCATTAGGTAACAGAAAGTTAATTAACAAGTAAAATTTAATCTGATATATGGTAAAGGGAGGATGAGTCTCAAAAATTACCTCCATGATCTTTATGAAGATACTTGTAGAAGGGAATGCAAGATGTCAGCCATTTAGGGTACTTCATTTCCTTAATATTGTGTAATGAATTTTTAATATTCATATTATTTAAGAATTCATGTACTTTATAATATATGAAGTAAGTTTTAAAGACAAGTTTGTTTATTTAATAAAGGGAAAGGAAACAAAGCTTTTCTAAAGAAAATTCTGTTATAAAAACAATAACCAATTTTGATAACATAAATACCATTCTTGCTCCTTTTGTGATCAATTAGGCAAAGTACATCTTTTATTTTCGTTATCTATAAGAAAAATATTTGAATACTCTTTCTCTCAAATATTTGAACTTTCTTCCTGAACTCATAAGGTTTCATAAACACATGAGTCATATTTTTAATCATACCCTTTTCAAATTTTCAAAAATTTTCTGGAAAGAGCAGATTAGTTTTTCATGATCACAAGTTCACACCCTCACTTGTGACAAAATATTTTACAGCTTCTTAGAATATTTTTCAATATTTCAATACTTAATATTTAGTTTTCTACCTAATTCAAGAACACACATCAATGTAAAAAATTTAACAGCCATAGTTTGAGAAATTTGTTAATACTGATCATGTTTCTGAGATGTTTAAACAAATATCAAAGTTTTCGTAGGGCATAATATGGCTTGCCTTTGTGAACTCTGCTCAGTATACACAACCAGGTGCTCCATACTTCAAAGTAATTATCAAACTCATTTTACTCATGATGTTTCTATCCTCTGCTCCTCCTATATTCCCCTCCGAAAAGCTGGCAGCAATCCCTATCCTATATAACTCTGAATATTTTACTGTGTCATTTCATCTAAAGACACTTGTCACTTTCTCTATGTAGAACAAGTTGAAGGAATTACAGAGGAAGATAATCAATTTTAAATATCTCTTTATTTTAGGCACTATATTTGTTACTTAATAAATATAATTTTATTTATTTAAATATATAATTATATGGTGAATGTATCATTTTACATAGTAATTTGTGATCTTATTGTTGTATAGTTACACGTTTTGTATATTTAAATATAGCATTTGTTTTTTATTATATTAGTTGTTACATATTACAGTCTTTTAAATTGTCTTTTAAATTACTATCTTATAGATGAGAACACTAAGTTTCATAAATGTTATGAAGAATAACATTAAGCTATGTTCTTTACCTTAACTGATTCTAAAATATAAATTATTTTTATAATATGCTGACTAAAATATACTATGTTGATTTTTGTTATGGTTATCGTATGTCCTTCTCTTATGTTGAATTGATAGACCATAAAATAAATGTGAGAAAGATCCATTATATTCATCTTCTACTTTGTAGGGAATGTTGTATGTAGTAAGTAACAACAACAACAACAACAAAAAAAAAACACACATACACATAGGAATTGAATACTATACTATATTTTAATTGAATACTGGAATTGATTTTTTGCTAGTAAGTCAAATGAATAAAACAGTAACAGTGAATCCCAGTCAATTGTTCATTCTAGTGGACAATGACCATTATTTCAAAGTCTTCTGTCATGTGACTATGGAGCAAGCAGACATCAGCAGGAAAACCATACAATCTTTTGCAGAGAACTTTAAGTTGGAATCCATTCACAGGAATTGTATGATCACTTTGCTAAACTTTAAACAATACTTTGCCAAAGGTTATGGCTTGCTCTCTCTGTTTATCCACAAACACAGGCATATACATGCACAATTTTCATTGAGATCATTCTACTTTGATAACATGGTCTTATGCTATTCCGTGTGTGTTACAAAATTATATGTTTTGGGCAGTCTGTAATTCGTATAAATTCCTGATACTTGATAAGAGGATATAGTATACTCTGATGGGGCAATCTATCCTCATGTCAATACAACAGGTTCTGAAAGCCAGAAATCCTTAATTTTGCTACCTCTAATCTAATTCTTTTCTTATGTCGTACGAACTTTTCAAGTTACTCAAACTCTTCGAGTAGTTGTTCCTCCTTCTTTGATATGGAAATAATTATAGCACATAGTGAATTGAATATTTTCAAAATAAGAAATGAATGAGATTAACATATGCAAAACACTTTGTAGAGTGTCTATCACATAGAAAGAGCTTAATAAATACTGTCACTATTATTAAAGGCTGTGTATAGATGCAAGATAGTTGTTATTCACCCAGACCAACTTTATTTTTTTCTGGTACCTGGGATTGAACTGGGGAGTTCTCTACAATTGATTCATATCCCCACCCCTGTTTTTATTTTTTTACTTTGAGAGAAGGCCTTGCTAAATTGCCCAGGCTGGCCTCAGCCTCCTGGATAACTGAGATTATAGACATGCATAACTGCACTCAGTAGGCTAGTTAGCTTTTGAAGAACATTTTTGGTAAAGTGTGCTTGCATCACCAATTCTCTTTGAGTAGACTGCATTCACTAGCACCATATTCCATTGTTTCCTGAATATATTACTTGCACATATTTTATTCATTTAATTATGTTTCTCAGTGATTAACAAAATAATTTCTTAAACATTATTAGAATAGTAACAAATATTACACTTAGTATATGTACTTCACATTTTTATAATATTCTTCATAATAATCGTACCTGTTAATACTATTATAATAATGTTCAATTATTGCTAATGAAATTATATGATCTATTAAATATTTTTTAAAAACCTATACAACATTAGCATCCATTCAAGTCTGAGTGAATTCTGGTCCTATCTGAGGTGACAGTAAGTAATCCCAAGTATAGAGTTAAGATATACAAGGGCTTCCATTTAATGGGAAGAAATGAACAATTATAAGGTACAAAAAAAGGGCCAAAGGATCAGGTTCAAGAGAAGGATCAGAGAACAGGAATTATAACCCAAACCAGAGCAAACATTTGAAAGGTAAGACACATTGCTCCCAAACGTGTAATAGCCATAAAATATGGAGCTAATACTTCTATATCATTCAGCAGAGAGATTGTTCTTATAGGTATCAATGTTGGATTAATATTGAGAAATATCTTTGTCTTTCCCTTTTGTTTGAAAATCAGATAAATTCATTTGCCTCAAGTCTTCTGCATCAGCCACATCATGTTCAACAAAATTCTGCTGTTGTCTCTTCAAATAAGTCTCCTAGGAACCACGCTTGGCGGGAACATTCTGATCTGGCCAATGGAAGGTAGTCACTGGCTAAATATTAAGATAATCATAGATGAGCTAATTACGAAACAGCATAATGTGACTGTTCTAGTTGCCTCTGGTGCACTTTTCATCACCCCATCAGTTAGCCCATCTCTGAAATTTGAAAGGTATAAAGTACCCTTCAGCAAAGAAACTATAGAAGGAATGATCAAGAATTTTGTTTTGACTTGGCTGGAACATAGACCATCTCCTTCAACCCTTTGGAGATTCTATCAGGAGATGACCAAAGTCATAGAGGACTTCCATATGGTGTCCAGAGATATTTGTGATGGTGTTCTTAAAAATGAAAAGCTGATGGAAAAGCTGAAGAAAGGCAATTTTGAAGTTCTGGTGTCAGATCCAGTATTTCCTTGTGGTGATATAGTAGCTTTAAAACTGGGAATTCCATTTATTTATTCTTTGAGGTTTTCTCCAGCCTCAACAGTGGAAAAGCACTGTGGTAAAGTTCCATACCCTCCTTCCTATGTTCCTGCTATTTTATCAGAACTCTCCGACAGAATGTCTTTTGCTGACAGAGTAAGGAATTTTATCTCCTACCATCTACAGGACTACATGTTTGAAACTCTTTGGAAATCATGGGATTCCTACTATAGTAATGCTTTAGGTATGTAAAAATTTTTTGTTTTAAGATTTGAATGTGAACAAGCAGAGACTTGAGTCAACTATTCTTTATGTCCCTATACTATTGTTTCACAGTTCTATGTATTGATGTACTATTACTATCACTTGATATCAGGAAAGAAGATAAAAGACATTGCACAGGCATGGTGGCACATGCCTATAATCTCAGCTACACAAAGTCCCAGGTGGTGGATCATAAATTCAAGGCCTGCCTCAGCAACTTAGCAAGACCCTGTCTCAGAATAAAAAATAATAAGTGCTGGGAGTGTATCTCAATGTAGAGCACCTCTGGGTTCAATCCTCCATACCATGTACAACACACACACACAAATATTTGCAACATCAATTACGTAGATAATATATACATGATACAGAAAAAAAGGAAGAGAAGGGAGAGAATATATGACAGGGAGAGAATAAAATTCTGAAAAACTTAATAATGCAATACATAAAGAAAATTTTAGACCATAAATATTAGTTTTCCTGCAAAGTATGTGTGGAGAAGGAAACTGTGCCCAGTGTTGGAGACTTCAAATGGCATTGGACATTACTGATAATTTACTATTTCTGAGGTCAAAATGTGAGGTGGATAGACATGTAAAAAAAAACAAAAACATGCTAATGACATCAACACAAGAAAGAATGAACTAGTTGGGTGCAATGGCGCATACCTGTAATCTCAGTTCCTCAAGAAGCTGAGGCAGGCAGATCACAAATTTAAAGCCAATGTGGGCAACTTCATGAGACCCTGTCTCCAAATGAAAAATAAAAAGGCCTGGGGAGGTAGCTAAGTGGTAAAATGCCCCTGGGTTCAATCCTCAGTAATGCAAAAAAAAAAAAAAATTCAATAAGTATTTTTGAAGTATCTTCTATATTATGCTTAGTACTTCTGTTTGTGTCTAATAAGCAATTGGGAACTGTTTAAAATGATATTTTTATTTTATATAAAATACCTGTACAGATATGGAGACAGAATAGAGAACTTGAGGCTAAGTTATAGCATCACCCCAGGAAAGAGACAGTGAGGGCATGTGTTAAGAAAGTGACTTATAGTGGAAGAGCATTTACCTAGGATGCATGAGGTCCAGGGTTCAACTCCCAGCACCACAAAAACTAAGTAAATAACTATCCCTTGTTATTATTTGGTTTCTTACTACAAATGGCCCTTGATATGAGGTATCTCCCAGAAGCTCATGTGTGAGACAAAGAAAGACAAAGTTTAGAGGTGAAATGATTGGGTTATGAGAGCCTTAACCTAATCAGTGCATTAATCCTCAGATATACAGTAATTAGGTGTTTCCTGTAAGCACTAGGTTGTGGCTGGAGGAGGTAGATTACTGGGGGCATGTCTTTGGGGTATATATTTTGTGAGCTGAGTTTATTCTCTTTCTGCTTCTTGGTGGCCAAGTCTTAACTTGCTTTTCTCCATCATATTCTTCTACCATCATGTCCTGCCTTACCTTGGGTCCCTAGCAATGGAACTGGCCTGAATACAGACTGAAACCTTTGAAACTGTGAGACCCAAATAAAATTTTCTTCCTCTAAAAAATAAAACAAAAAAGTAACTTACAAATGGAGAAAAATAACATGGTATGAGACTGTAGTCATAGAATTATGAAGGAGTCTACTTTTTAAATTTATTTTTTATTTTTTATTCTAATTTATTATATATGACAGGAGAATGCATTACAACTCATATTCCACATATGCAGCACAATTTTCACATTTATGGTTCTATGCAAAGTATATTCACACGATTCGTGTCTTCATACATGAACTTAGTGTAATGATGTCCATCTCATTTCATCGTCTTTTCTACCTTCATAACCTCTCCCTTCTCCTCCCTCCCCTTTTCCCTTTGCCCTATCTATAAATTCATCTAATCCTCCCATGCTCCCTGTCCCCAGATTATGAATCAGCAACCTTAAAACATAGAAAACATTTGGTATTTGTTTTTTTGGGGATTGGCTAAAAACACTTAGCATTATATTCTCCAGCTCCATCCATTTACCTGCAAATACCATAATTTTATTATCTTTTATTGCTGAGCAATATTCCATTGTATATATATATACCACTTTTGTTTATCCATTCATATACTGAAGGGCATCTAGGCTGTTTCCACAGTATAGCTATTGTGAATTGTGCTGTGATAAGTATTGATGTGGCTGTGTGCCTGTAGTATGCTGTTTTTTTGTGCCCTTTGGGTACAGACCAAGGAGTTGGATAGCTGGGTCAAATGGTGGTTTCATTCCTAGTTTTCCAGGGAATCTCCATACTGCTTTCCAATGCTGCACCATTTTGCAGTCCCACCAGCAATGTATGAGTGTACCTTTCCATCCTCACCAACACTTATTGTTGTTTGTATTCTTAATAGCTGCTATTCTGACTGGAATGAGATGAAATCTTAGAGTAGTTTTGATTTGCATTTCTCTAATTGCTAGAGATGTTCAACATTTTTTCATATATTTGTTGATTAATTGTATATCATCTTCTGAGAAGTTTCTATTCAGTTCCTTGGCCCATTTATGGATTGGATTATTTGGGATTTTGGTGTTTAGCATTTTGAGTTCTGTATTTACCTTAGAGATTAGTGCTCTATCTGATGTGCAAGTGGTAAAAATTTGCTCCCATTCTGTAGGCTCTCTATTCACCTCACTGATTATTTCTTTTGCTGAGGAGAATCTTTTTAGTTTGAATCCATCCCATTTATTAATTCTCGATTTTAATTTGTGTGCTATAGGAGTCTTATTAAGGAAGTAGGGGCCCAATCCAATATGATGGAGATTTAGGCCTACTTTTTCTTTTATTAGACTCAGAGTCTCTGGTTTAATTCCTAGGTCCTTGATTGACTTTGATGTGAGTTTGTGCATGGTGAGAGATAAGGGTTTAATTTCATTTTGTTGCATGTGGATTTCCAGTTTTCCTAGCACCATTTGTTGAAAAGGCTATATTTTCTCCAATGTATGTTTTTTTTTTTGGCATCTTTGTCTAATATAAGATAACTGTAATTACATGGGTTAGTCTCTTTGTCCTCTATTCTATACCATTGTTGCCAATACTATGATGTTTTTGTTACTATTGCTCTGTAGTATAGTTTAAGGTATGGTATGGTGATGCCACCTGCTTCACTCTTCCTGCTAAGAATTGCTTTAGCTATTCGGGGTCTCTTATTTTCCCAGATGAATTTCATGATTGCCTTTTCTATTTCTATGAGAAATGTCAGCAGGATTTTGATTGGAATTGCATTAAATCTGTATGATGCTTTTGGTAGTATGGTCATTTTGATAATATTAATTCTGCCTATCTGAGAACAAGGGAGATCTTTTGATCTTCTAAGGTCTTCTTTAATTTCTTTCTTTAGTGTTCTGTAGTTTTCATTGTAGAGGACTTTTACCTCTTTTGTTAGGTTGATTCCCAAGTTATTTTTTTTTTGCTTGTTTGTTTGTTTTGTTTTATTTTTTCACAGATACACAGAAATGCCTTTGATTTATGGGTGTTGATTTTATATCCTGCAACTTTGAAAATTCATTTACTAGTTCTAGAAGTTTTCTTTGAAATGTTTTGGGTCTTCTAGGTACAGAATCTCATATCGTTGAAAAATAGTGCTAATTTTAGTTCTTCTTTTCCTATTTGTATCCCCTTAATTTATTTTGTATGTCTAATTATTCTGGCCAGTTTTTCAGAACTATGTTAAATAGAAGTGGTAAAAGAGGGCACCCTGTCTTGTTCCAGATTTTAGAGGGAATCTTTTAATTTTTCTCTATTTAGAATGATGTTGGCCTTGGGCTTAGCATAGATAGATTTTACAATGTTGAGATATGTTCCTGTTATCCCTAGTTTTTCTAGTGTTTTGAACATGACGGAGTGCTGTATTTGTCGAACACTTTTTCTGCATCAATTGAAATGATCGTATCATTCTTATATTTAAGTCAATTGATGTGATGAATTACATTTATTGATTTCTGTATGTTGCACCAAACTTGCATCCGTGGGGTGAACCCTACTTGATCATGGTGCATGATCTTTTTGATATGTTTTTGTATTAAATTTGCCAGAATTTTATTGAGAATTTTTGCATCTATGTTCATTAGAGATGTTGGTCTGAAGTTTTCTTTCTTTGATGTGTCTTTGCCTGGTTTTGGAATCAGGGTGATATTGGCCTCATAAAATGAGTTTTGAAGTGATCCCTCTTTTTTCTGTTTCCTAAAATAAATTTAAGAGTATTGGTATTAGCTCTTCTTTAAAGGTCTTTTAGAACTCGGCTGTGTATTATGCCTTCCTAGCCGCTGGGATTACCAGCATGTGCCATCATGCCCAGCTTGGTTTATTTTATTTCTAACAGAATTCTAAAAGGACTAAATTAATTAATCCATGATGGAATTTTAGAATAAAATCTGAGAAATACTAACCATTCAATTAGTGTTAGCTTTTTTTAGGTCTAATTAATTAAAACCAATGGCTACTTAATGAGGATTGTTAAGAGGGATGAAGAAGAAATTAAAATTGATTCAACATTTTTGACTTCAGTAAGTGATAAACGGTGCAAATCACTCAGGATGTGAATATAGGAGAGAGACAATTCAAGAAAAGAAATAACACATTTAACTTTGTACATGTTGCTGGGCACAGTGGTGCATGTTTATGATCTCAGTAACTGGGGAGGCTGAGGTAGGAGGATTGCAAGTTCAAGGCCAGCCTGGGCAACTTAACAGGTCCCTGAGACAGTCTCAGTGAGACCCTGAGATTCTGTCACTGGAATGGAGTCCAGTGGTGGAGTGTTTACCTAATCTGTGTGAGACCTAGGTTCAATCCCTAGATTAACAACAACTAAAAAAAAATGTAAATAAATGTTGTGCATGTGATACTTATGGGAATATTTGGTGAAATCCAATAAGCAATTGTTAGGTGGGGTGAAATCTGAGGAAATGTAGTGGGTTAGAGATTTAAGTATTATCTGTATAAGAATGGTACATATGCACT